TCCCTGAGGGAGCTGACAGGATCTAGGGTTTAGGTGAGCCCACGTCAGGCCCCTCGTGAAACCGATACATCACCACAACAGTTTCCAAGGTGATACCTACTATGACGGCAGCTCTGTATCGGTTTAGGGTTTATAGGGATTACAGGGCATAAAGCACAACGAAACCGAGGCCATGGCCTGACCAAGCTACTCCAAGCGGCACTGTTCGCCAAAGGGGTCACATCCCTCCCTAGATCGAGACAAAGCCCATGCCTTGTCCAAGGCTCCAAGAACCGTATTGAATGAGATGTCGTCAGGGGAGCTGCCTTGGCAGCCATTGATTTCAAGGCTAGGCCGACACAGACATACATGCATACTGACAATGTATAAATATAAATATGTCTATATATATGTACATATGTATATATACATGTGTATATATATATATAATACATGTACTACATGTATGGACCCTGCCCCACGACCCGCTGCCGTCCTTTTTCTTTAAATGTACCAACTTTCTTCTATTCTTGACTCAGACTTGAACACGCGACTCATGCTCCAAAATCCTGAAGCAACCCTCCCTGTGGCCTCCCCCGAACCCTAAACACCCTAAGCACCCCTAACTCTACACCCTTTAAGCCGGGTTTAGGGTTTAGGGCTTTTTTTTTTAACAACCTTTCACTCCTTTTCGGGCGAGCTTACAGCTAGGGTAGGTTACGAAACCGGAAAGCATGCCCCTCAGTACTCCCTGTGCATGATCATGTCACACGCCCACGTCTAGACGTTAGGGTTTAGGGTTTAGGCACCGCACCCTACTCTCTGGAGCCCGGAACCAGACCCACAAGCACAAACAAGCATTTTACTTTTTTCAGAGCAATGAGGATCTAGAGAGCCAACTAACAAATGCGTTTTGATGGAGTGGAGACTAACTCGGGCCGTAGGTGTTTAGGCTGTCAGAACAGGCACCCCCGCCCTCCTAATCCTCCCTATGTCCCGGTAGAATGAAGCAGCTCCAACCAAGAAGGCAGTGGGGCTCCTTTACAAAGAATGTCAAGACCGAAGGCACTGAACTGATGCCCCAAATTAACATGTAGCACTCATGAAGCACGGAAGTTGGGGAAGCCCTAAACCCTAAACCCTAAACCCTAAACCCTAAACCCTCTCTTTCTTATATATATTTAAACCTTCGGCCGATTTCGGCCACGGCCGAAAAGCCACGAACACTGGTCCCCCCAGTGTTCGGCCGATTTCGGGCACGGCCGAAAAGCCACGAACACTGGTCCCCCCAGTGTTCGGCCGATTTCGGCCTGGCCGAAAAGCCACGAACACTGGTCCCCCCAGTGTTCGGCCGATTTCGGCCACGGCCGAAAAGCCACGAACACTGGTGCCCCCCAGTGTTCGGCCGATTTCGGCCTGGCCGAAAAGCCACGAACACTGGTCCCCCCAGTGTTCGGCCGATTTCGGCCTGGCCGAAAAGCCACGAACACTGGTCCCCCCAGTGTTCGGGCGATTTCGGCCTGGCCGAAAAGCCACGAACACTGGTCCCCCCAGTGTTCGGCCGATTTCGGCCACGGCCGAAAAGCCACGAACACTGGTCCCCCCAGTGTTCGGCCGATTTCGGCCTGGCCGAAAAGCCACGAACACTGGTCCCCCCAGTGTTCGGCCGATTTCGGCCTGGCCGAAAAGCCACGAACACTGGTCCCCCCAGTGTTCGGCCGATTTCGGCCCCTCCCCCCCCCCCCCTCCCTCCTCCCCCCCCCCTCCCTCCCCCCCCCCTCCCCTCCCCCCCCTCTCTCCCCCCCTCTCACCCCCTATCCTTACCCCGCCCCCTCCCCTAATCTGACCCTATTGTTCGTCGGTGGAAGGTTCAGTGGAAAACGTGTCCGAGTTGGGTAGGTACTCTGGGGAAGATGACAACCGTTTATTTTCTTAATGTTATGGGATTCTTTGGGCGGGTGGGTTTTTTTTCTGAGCCTGGAATGAATGCTAGAACAGTGACCCTCTAGACCCTAAACCCTAAACCCTAAAGTCCCGTCCCGAGGATGCAGCCCTGCCGACCCATTTCCTGCAGCAACTCCAAGGAGAGCTGCCAGAGGGCAGCGCGCTCACAGGCAAGCCTGGGATGTGGAAGTCCCAGCTTGAAAGGATGACAGGGTTTAGGGTTTAGGGTTTAGGGTTTAGGGTTTAGGGTTTGCCACCCGCCTAGCCGACCCCACTGGGATCACTCCGCAGGGAGCAATCGTAGTCTCACTCGTGTGTGTCATCAGCAAAAAGGGCCCCGAAGCATCCCCAGGGTTTAGGGTTTAGGGTTTAGGGTTTAGGGTTTCGGGTTTGGGGTTTCGACTGTCGCACTCGCACGTGGCCGGCAAGGTTCTGGGTTAAGGGGATTTTGTTTAGAGGGTTTAGGACTATGTGACTATGGGTGTTGTTCTGATCAAGAAACTCCCTCAGAATCAGGGTCGGGGCTTGCGAGCTGGGCAAACTTGCCATGCGTTTAACTCAGACTCCGGCAAGGCAGAGTTGAAGCTGATCCTGCATGAAGTCATGCAGCTGCACATTCTGTTGCAATGAACTGGCACTTGCCGCTATGTTACACTAACACCTAAGCCCCTGAAACCGAAATAACGCTAAATTCGTTGCCCGTCCTGTCTCTGTGGAGCCTCCGAGCTGGAAACGAGTATAGGATGCTCAACGCCTTGGTGTTGGGCTAAGGTCTCCAGGCTACTCCTGGGAGGGTTCTGTGATGTTAATGTCTGGATAATTAAGGAGCGCATGTCTATCAGTATTCGAATCAAACCACGCGGCAAAGTGATGGGGTTCCAACGTTCAAGGTAAGGAGGGCATGGTTGATGTTTACGCCGCGGCGCTCGTTTTGCCAAATGACACTCTCGCCAACTGCGGGCTTGGCTGTGGGAGCTGTCCAACATTTCAAATCGCGAACGAACTTCGAACACGCAAAGCAGCAAGGAAGACAGGGCTATGACCATGAGAGGGAGGGCGAGAGAGAGAGGGAGACACAGAGAGAGAGAGAGAGATGAACAAGAGCACAACCAACTTAAGTGAGTTTAATCGCTCCCACCTAGGCCTCGGGCATTTTTTAGGGCTTGAGATTTTGGGAGATTTGATGAGTTCACTCAGGCACGTTGCGTCACCAAAGTCGGTCTTATTTTCTTTGGAGCTGTTGCTGGAAGCATTGGAAGCATGAACACGGTTTATGCCATTCTTTCTTCACAAGGACCTCGCGAGCCTGGGACAACACCCACATACACATGAATCGCAATACCTGGCCATGCGTAATGAAGGCTCCCTTCAATGCCAACCACTACTTCTCTGACCTTCCCCACTACCCCTGGCCTGGGCCCACTCGGAGCTTCGGGCACAGGCTGCGAGGGCAGAATTCAGGGTGATGGTGTCCTGAAGTCGAGGACCAGCCGTTCATTAAAACACTTGCCAGGAACTTCGACTCAAAGAATTGCTGCATGCTTTTGGCTGAAAGTAATTGAACATAGTTGAAACCCCATATATGTACCCCCCGCACACTGCCCTACTCCAGATCTGAGGAGCTGGCAGGTTGTAGCTGGATCTGCTGCATGTCGCCCAGCAAACTGCAAGGCAAGATATGCTTCTTGCGGTGGACGATTGGCACAATAAGTACCCCCGATGGTGGGGGAATTTCGCCAGTCACAATAGCTCTGGAGGCATCCTGAGGTCTTGCCATCAAAAGCCTTTAAAGGACCCTGGACTTCTCTGCGAGACATGCACCGAGGCAAAGTTATCGTTCCTTTGTTCCAGCGCACTGTCTGCGATTGCTGATGGAACGGCACGCGCATCGGCGCATCGCATGCTAAATGGCAGCCGCACGTATGTACCGCGTAGGATTGCGCTTTTGGCAAACCCGCCGCCTACTGCCCTTCCGGATTGTTCTCGCAAAGACTTGAGATCAGGTTACGTAGCAGTGGAGTAAGTACCCTTGAAGTTATGTGGCAGTTCCTTGAGCGATCCTTAAGTGGGCGTTGATCTCAGTGTCCCTGCATGGGTAACAGCCCGAAAGTTATAACATTTAACTTTGTAACTTAGTTTTAGAGCTCCGAAGGTGGAGGATGGCCGGACGGGAGGAAACTTTGGAACTTGCGAAATCATGCCGGCGGTGTGTGCTTGGGGGAAAGGGAGAGAGAGAGAGAGAGAGAGAGAGAAACCAAAAAAGAGGGAAGAGAGGGAGAGACAGACAGAGAGGGAGAGGAAACAAAAAGAGCAAGAAGAGGGAAGAAAGGGAGAGAGAGAGAGAGAGGAAGAGAAAGGCCGAACCACACTGGCCTAGATCATACTCGGGCGCGAAGGCTCCAGGCAGGCCCGCTGAGAAGGAGGGGGATAAGAAGAGACTAAGAGAGAGGGAGAGAAGGACAAAGAGAGGGAGACAGATAGAGCGTGCCCACATAGATTGTTGAGCCCTTAAAGAATTCAATCCGTGCAGGGCGTGGCGCGTTGATTGCGCGGGCCGGCCATGAGCTCTGAGATCCGCCACTGCAAAAGCAGTCACACGGAGACCCTCAAATGTCAGATCATCCCAGATCCTCGCAAAAGCGTGGCTGCAAAAATCAGGCCGCCCCAACACGAGACCTCAGCGGTGCTGTCGGTGTACATAACGCTTGGAGCAACCTTTGGGGATGAAGTCTCGGAGCTTCAGACAAGGGCATTTGTTGTGTAGCTTGGGAGCTGTGCAAGTTGAATTCGACACTGCAATGTGAGAGCCGGGTGCCTTTTGCTTCAAGGAACTCGTTGGGTCAGTTGGGTCCGTGTGTGCGCATGTGTCGGCTAAAGGGCCACTCCTATCCGCCAGCCCACTTTTTGTTGCAGAGCGAACTTCTGCGAGACGCAGAAGTGGCAGTTGCCGTGCAGCTGGTTCCTGCTCTGTGTGACACGGGCTGGAAATTGGCCCCTAAACCCTAAACCCTAAACCCTAAACCCTAAACCCTAAACCCTAAACCCTATCTCCCGGAATCTCCCTCACAGCCTCACAGTTATGAGGCACCCGAGGCTTGGGAGAGTGCTTGGGAGTCCATGGTGTCCTCAGCATATTTCCATGCACTTCTTAGTTGACCTATTTTGAAATTTGGGGGTTGAGCAGTCAGAAAGAACAAAAACGGTTCTATGACAGCCTACATGCTGTTTCTTGCCAGGCATCTCTACTAGTGGAAGTGGTCAGTCTCGTCTCCAGTTCCTCTCGCAGTTCCTTCGCCACGTCACGATCGCGTGAGGGGAGGTAGAGAATCATATTATGGTACGATGTGTAAGCCATCAAAAGGCACACCATAGTGCCGTAGACCATGTGAATCATGACGTCGCGGTCATAGATCGGGCACTTGACGTACTCGCCTGTACTCTGCCAGCCGCCATATGCCGAATTGCCGGTATAGTCCGTCTTCGGGACATAGATCCACGGCTGAAGGTACTCGAGCGGCAGCAAAGGCAACATGACCTTGTTTCTTCACATTGGGGAGGGGAGACCTGTAGTGCGAGGAAGCAGCTAATTCCCGGCTGGTCCAGGGGGCCAATTGGGGTGTATAGTACGGGAAGGTATATTGGGCTCATACTTGCGAAGCCCAGATGCCTTCAGCAAGGGCAATTGCAAATATATGGTCCCTACCGCAGCTTTCCTCTTGACGTTGTACATCTCCTTGGGTGCGTCAGCATCTGCCTGCAGGCTTGCAAGGAAATGAAAATCATGCTGGCTCCTGACAGAGAAGCCTGTTCACGGATCGGGATGATGATTTCAATGCTCTGGTCATCTCTGGTCCATGTTTTGTTGTGGAACCGCTGGGGTTTGCGAACCCCGCCCCCCCCCACATCGTTCTTTGCAGAAAAAGCTGCAGATCTTCGCGGAGGGTATGTCGAGCTTCAGCTTGCTTTAGCTAAGCCTGTCCTACCCGGACCCAGCCTCCCCAAGAGCATAGGAGACCGCATTCGAAATGATCGAAAGCCCGGCGGACCCTACGAATGTTGAAGAGACCGCAGCAACAGTCACAATCACACCTCAGCAACGCATGCAGCATCAGAATGCATCAAGTACTAAACTCCCTCCTGAGACTTCACTGCTTCGAAAGAGGATCTGCAACATTCAGAAGAAAGATGTTGGAGTTCTTGACCTAACAAGTGTCCCCATCATTGTTGAAGAAGCCCTCTTTGTCTAAACTGCCATGTGCTTCTGTCAAGAGGCTGCTGAGCTCGGAGAGCGGCCGCCTTAGCAGGCTTGTGGTTCCCAAAAGGGCCGCTTGACTGCACGCACTATTCCCGCAGCAGTGCCATCTAACATCAGCTGCCGCCATGCAACGGGTAGTGGCACCAGCCGTGACTGTCCTTAATGACCTGTGTCGGTACGGTGTTGACAGCCATCACGAGAACGCTGAGAAGCCTGAGTTCATCCGAGTTGTGGTGTAATGACACGAGACTTTGGAGCACCCATGCGGCCACTCAGGTGTCTTCTTCCCAAGCACAACAGCCCTCCAGCGGCCATAGCAGTGCCAACTGCTGTTGTAGCCAGAGACAGACGGAGGAGGAATAGTTTGGGTGCCTTGTTCTTTCCTGGCACCGTGTGGGCCCACTACCATGCAACAAACCATCCAAGAGGCACATAGGTCCAGATGAAGAACACGACGACCCGAAAGGCAAATCGCAAATCCTAGCATCCACATGCACAGAGCGTTGGAACCGCCTGGATAGACATCAAAGTGGCGACAGCGATGGACAAGAAGAAGATCCATGGCAACAGCGTGATTGGTGCAATGCTCCATGCATCCAGGACACTGTTATGGTCAAATGATGTGGCTCTTTGCTCCACAGGAGACCCAAGCCCGGTAGCATGTCGTTCACGCCTCGAGGACATGTAGCAGTAACGCTGTAAGCTTTCTTGCCCACTGCGATTTTGGCTGTTGCCGGCAGCACGGAACCCAGCTTGCCTCCACAAAGTGAGCCGCACCACCAACGTTTCATCGGCACCTGTCATGGGCCGGTTGGGCTACGATTGCCCTCGGTAGTATGCAGTAGGAAGAGGCCGACAAAGACAGCCTCATTGAAATGTTCAAAGCCAGTGCCGGCTTGCCCCAACGAGCAGAGGTGCGCGGGATTACTTCACAGCACCAAACGAATGTCATTTACGGAATGAATGTAATTTACTTTAGGTATGTTTTTTCTTTAAGAACGGTGAGAGCCCCGTGACAGCTGACTGGTCTTCGAAGACCCCTGCAGTCATGAGCTGCAAGATGAGGCATGTGCTGCGAAAGCATGTCCCCGCCTTCTTCATTAGCTTTCTGGGGTAGGGTGGCTCGCCCAGAGAGTGCAGAAAGTACCTTCAGCCAGTTGCACCGCATGTCCCCTCAATGGCATAACTCAGTCGCTCAAACGCTATAACCCTAAACCCTAATACCCTACTGAAATGAGCTGTGATTGTTGTAGCAAGACTCCCTTCTACCAAGGTGCTGGACCATCGAGCCGATGGCGACACAAGAGAAAACAGCGATCCTGGGATGGGTTTGGGTGCCGTATGGTCTTTCGAAATAAATAAACAAACTTTATACACATATACATATATATATATACATATTATATATATATATATATATATATAACTTACTTATATGTAAATGTAAGTATTACGTATCTTTCTCTCCCCACACACACATATACATGTATATAGATAGATGTATATATATATATATAGAAATATATATATATATATACATACATACAATATATATATATATATAATATATATATATATATATATATGTATTTATATGTATGTCATACATGCACTTGTTGTTGTTGATGTACTTTTTCTTTTGGGCTGAAAAACAGTTGGGGAACACAGAAACTCGAAACGTCCGAATTCACCCCAGAATCAGGAGCTCCAGAACCATCGCAAGTGGGGGTACCCACAATGCGGTGAAGGCTACCTCGGAAGCCGCGGATGAGGCTCCAGGGGTTGATGTTATGTTTTTTTTTTTTTTTTTTAACGTGGATTTGGAGATCACAGGCGTGAGAACTCATTGCACACACCTTCTCCCACATGCATAGCCAGGCTGCACATGCCGTCCAAATGGGCAGCGCGCCTGATTGCGAGCTGCTTCTATTCCGTGTGAGGAAAGCATGGAATGTGTGCAAAACGGGCAATGCACAAGCAGAAGATGAGGCGAAGCCAAGGCACAAATGGTCTGTATAAGCTGAACATTGAAGGGAGTCACAGGATACCCCTCTCGATTGAGAGTCGCTTCCAGCGACATCTGATCATGCACGATGTGATAGAGCGTGAAAGCCACGGTCAAAACCAGCCCCCAGCTGCCCAAGATCCACAAAGGATAGAAGATCTTGGGTGCCTCTCTGGCGCCGGAGAGGGATATGGCTCACTTCTCTAACTTGTGGCTTTTTTTTTTTTTTTGGGGGGGGGGCGGGGCGGGTCGTGTTTCTAAGGCGACCCCGAATATGTAGGGCATCCCCCAAAAAGGGAGCATTATTTTGAGAACACCTCTGGGAATTGAATGTGGTTCACTTGAAAGGGCGCTTTGGGCCATTGTTCCGAACAAACACAGCAAAGCCGTTAGCATCTACCAACCTACCTACTGTAGCTGTTAGACTATGGTGGACTGGCTTCGGCTTTGGGCCTCAAGATACCTGGACAGCTGCTCACAGTTCTTCCACCTTGTCCGCGCAACGATTTTTGCATGCGACTTGAGTGCTTTCAAACTCACATGTCCACAGGGCGGGAAAGAACCCTACAACCGTAAGCGGTGTTGGACTCTCAAAATCCAAGGCCTGAGCTCTATGAGCCCAAATTGAAGCTCTTGTCGTCTCAAATCTTATGCAGCTGCAGGCGCCGCCCCAGCGCACTGCCGCCAACAAGGTTGCAAGCTACACAGCACCGAATGCGTGGCATGCAGGACAGAGCCGGGACACCAGTGAGGCAAGACTGGAAGGTTTTGGCGAGCGAGCATCCAACAACTGAATACGAAACCAATAAAAAAGAGGGAGAGAGAGAGAGAGAGAGAGCAGCACCCCGCCCCCCTCCCCCCGACTCGGACAAAAACCCAGAAAAAGCGCGCAGATCCCAAAAAGACGAAGCCTGGCCTCTTCGACATGGTCCCAGAGATAGTAGCCCCAGAGGGCGGCTAAGGGCATGGCTAAGCTTCGACTCTTGTCCAAGGGGTTTCGGACCAAAAGCTCTGCGGCACAGGTGTGGGGCTGCCAGGTGAGGTCAGGGGCTCTTCAGGGTTTAGGCTTCAGGTTGCTGCTTTTTTGATAGCTGGAATCTATCCCATTTCGAGTTCAGGGCTTAGGGCCTATAGGGATTAGGTTTGACGTACTGGGCCAGGTGCTCACCTTGGAGGCGCTTTCATCACGTTCAAGCCATTCCCTCGAACATTGTTAGCCTTTCCTATCCAGGCATTCTGCGACATGCTCTGCCAAACCCCGAGAGACCGAGGTCCGCGCGCCACTGCGGCAGACGCGCGCTACAGACTCGAAGCGGGATAAAGACCATGCCGAGCCAAGTTCTGAATTCGGTGCAGGGTTTTGCTTTCCAAGCTGCTGATGAACTCCCCCTACTTTAACTACTTCAGCGGCTTCAGCGCATGCATGAGACCAGCTGCTTGCAACTGCAGTTGTTGCTGTTCCGAGCACGATGCGGATTGTGATTGCAGCCACTCAAAAATAGCGACAACGCACTCTGTAACAACTGAGAAACACCCAGATGCGCTCACACGTCTGACCTTAATGGCTTCATCAAGACTCCTTCCGAACCCCTTGGACTCTTCGACTGCCTTATGCCATGACTGCCGTATCCGGCCTCAATGAGTCCATCCATCTCTGCGCCTGCGCTTCGATCAGGGTCAGGGGAGGCCGGCGAGCACATGTTTTGGGAGGTTCCCCCGCAGTCCTTAATAGGGATTATCGTACCCCCCCCCCCCCCATTTTATCCCTTTTCGGGACTGCGAGTACAAGGGGGAACATCCCAAGGTTTGGGGTTTTAGCATTCAGAGTCAAGGCAAAGAGCTTGCAATTGGCGCTGGCGCAGGTCCATGTTTTGGCCGTATAGTGAACCAATGTCACACGTTTCTCACGAGAAAGTTCTCCGACTGAAGAGGTCAACTGGTCAACTCCGATCAGTAGCCGTCGCTGATGCTGCTAGAGCGTATGACCGGCATTCTATTCATAGTGAGTTGGCTCCATTGACCTCGACGAACTGTGGAGCTGAGTGAAAGCGGAACTAGGAAATCGGAAAATCCAATTGTCGCACGTAGCCTTCGTTGACTTTGTCCTCAGGCTGCGCTTCGGGAACATAGATGATTTGCTCTGAGCTGATGCTGGTCGGCCGCCTGTGCTCACCGTTGCGGCAATCCATAAACAAAACATAACAAAACCAAGGTACATAGGGGTTGCCGAAATTTGGGGTACTTTTTTTGGGGCTTATAAGGGGATCCTACTATTTACACCAGATCTAAAAAGAATACGAGCCGAGCGCAACTGAAACTCACAGCTGCTGCAGTATCCACTGCGGAGCTTACGCAACTCCGCAGGTGGATCTAGAACTTGGACCCAGCGAGACTACGTGGAGAGTTCGAGTGTTCGTTGGGCTTTGAGCGCCTCGTGTCCCTATGAAGTACAGGGTTGAGAAGGGCCGACATGCTCAATTGTGCAGGGAGGTTCAAATTACATTTATAGATATACACATGTATGTATGTATGTGTATGGGTATGTGTATGTGTATGTATATACATATACATACATTTACATATACATATACATGTACATATGCATTTTCATATACATAGGCATTTTCAAACATATGTACATATACGTGTACATATACATATGCATATACATATACAACTACATACACATACCCATACACGTACCCATACACACATACACGCATACACACACATACACACACACACACATACATACATGCATGCATGCAGGCATGCATACATACACACACACACACATGCACATACATGCACTTGTCTTCTCTTCAGGTTTCATATCCTGAGATGGGTAGGGATATCACGGCAATGTCAGAATCCAACCCCAGTCGTCGCAGGGCACCAATCGCAGCGCCCTGTGATGTCGGCTCGGCCCCTCTGCCCGCTTGCCAGCAGTTTATAGGGTTTATTTATGGTTTAAGTTTAGGCTTTTTCTCATCTATTTTTTTGAGGTTAGGGTTTTTTTGCTACCTGCCTAGCTAAGTTTAGGGTTTAGGGTGTAGGGTTTATGGTTTATAGGGCCTATGTGGGTTTTGATTCTTTGGGGGCTAATTTTGCTTGACATCGCTACTGTTTTTGCTTGTACAAAACAACATTGAGAATTCATCTATCAAGAACGATCTGGCTAGTTATGGCTCTTATCGTACAGGGTCGGTCAAATAGAACAAACAATAAGGTGCTGGAAATTGCAGGTCAAGCTGCAGGAGAAGAATTTTCTTATATGGGACTACGCTCAGAACCGGCCGCGAACACAATGGGATCCCAGACCGGCCCATCGAGCTTGAGCTGCAGTTGGAGATCCTTATAATATCATCAACCCAGTAACAAACCCCCCCTGGAAACCTCTAAGTACATTTATTTATTATTTGTTTTGGCAAGCAGGGCTCCTGCTACCTGGCTCCTTTACCCCTCAGCGGATTCGCTGGAGCCCGTGGGTGAAACTTCCAAAACTTGGGCATTCAGGAGTATTCAGACTTCCTCGCGTGGCAGACAGTTTGCAGCAGTCTGGCAAGGAATTGATACTTGGGGAAGCTCTGGTGTTGGGCGAGTTGTCCTCTATCTAGAGTCCACCTAAAGCAACTGCTCACACAATCGCCCGAGCAAGTGAGCCCCTGCCCATCCCTCCTGCGTGCGCAAGTCATCCCTCGACCTAGGCGGTTGGTGGCTCAGGCATTTCCTTGTTTCATTGATGCGTTCGTTTGCTGCATTTTGTCTCGCCTCCCCGGATGCAAACCGGAAGAGTCTACTGTGGCCGGAGGCAATAAGGCTTCCTCCGGGGATCCTATTTTTGGGGATCCATTATCTATTATACATACCTTCGCGAGGAGGATGAAGGTACGTATTTACATGCACATGACATACGAGATGTAAGTGTCACCTGCTCGCATTCAGCTCTACCGCTCAACCCCCTGTGCTGGCCGAAAGGGTTGCCTATGCTTTGGTACGCGACTGCTGATCTGAGTCTCCCGCCAGCTCGATCGAGGAATCCTGCCGGGACTAGAGGGTCTCTAGGGCCGCGCGCAGGAGACTGGACTGTAGCGGCAAACATAAGCATGTGCCGGACTGGGCTAGCACCAGCGATACACGCAATGGCATAAAGGTTGGAACATGTCGTTGCACAAGGCCCAAAGTCATAAGCAAATCCTTTGAAGTGTGGCAGCATAAGACGCATTCGAGGGTTAGGGCTCGCTAGGGCCTGTTGGTTGGAGACCAGACTGAGCCTCTGGCCACATGGTTACTCTTGAGAATGAAACTTTTGGGGGCTTAGGATGCTGGCACAGACCTTCTTGCTCTTTGTTCAGCCAACGGCACTTTGGGCCGTGACGCACAACATGCCCGAGAACGAGCACTCATGAAATCGGCGCCTCAGAAGCTCGCTGACGCCGCAACGCCACCGTGAGGTCCTTCGGAAATCAGGCATCAGATGGCATCAGGAATTGGGACCAGGCCCAGTTTTATGCCGGGAAGTCCCCAGCAGCTAGTTTTTTCAAGTGCATGAAATCAAAGCCCGCATCAACCCATGAGTCGTCACCTGAAATCTAGCCATTTACGCAAAGGGGCCAACGAAACCGAAAGGATCAAAGCAAACACCCTGGCACCCCTCTCCCCATTTTCAAGGTGTAAACCAAAAAAGCCCATCCCCAAACCAAGACAATCCATGAGTCAATGTGGACTGGGGCTAGAGATTGCATGCAGTTGCACCGGATGGGGTACTCTATTCTCAAGGTTCAGGGCATAGTGCCACGGCAATGCGCAGAAACAGTCGCACTGGCCCACCTGCTCGAGCCTTGGGAAGTCGAACCTGAGACAGCCATCAGAAATCCGGTTTAAGTCCAGCTTCGTGCCTGGCATCACCAACTAAGCGTTTATGCTATGATGTTCGCAACCAGCGGTTGCACCTCCTGAGTCCTCAGCAAGAGAACTCTACAGTCCGGATCCTGTGCACCTTCCTTCGACTACCTATTTGAGTTTCACTAGCAAAGGGTGGGGCAGGGAAACAGATCCTATGGAAAGAGAGAGGTAAGCGCCGAACGAATGCCAGAACTGCTTGATGGAGGAAATGCAATACACACCTTAGCTCAGCGTCCATCGTGGCACCCCCCCCCCCCCCATCTTTGCAAATGGACGTTGGCCAGCTTCTGATGTCACGCAGTCGGCCCTGAGTGTCGGTGCTGTCCACATGGTGTAAGATTGATAAGTCCTCCTTCACGTTTATGAGAGTGTCGCGAACGATCTCTCTTCCTGAGCTCAACGGCGCCCGATCTGTCGTGCAGCTCAACTTGAGATAGGTGCATGTCTCGAAACCTCTGTGCCAGACTTGCTGCAATCAGCGCATGCTACCAAACGTTCCAAACACTCCTGGCTGAGATACGTTGCACTTATCAAGAGTAGTTTCAGGATGATGTCCGTACCCCGGAGCGACATGCTGAAGCTGCATGTTGAACATGCAAGCTATATCCATTGAATTGTGCAGGATTCTTGGGACAAGTTTTGCATCCCTCCGCTTTGTCCCGTGGGTCACTTTGGGACTCTCGGTTGGATGCTTCCCTTCTCCGTTCCGGGTCTAGTGCCTGGGTTTCCTCCGGGATTCTGGTTTCCTCGCTTCACATTAAACCTTCGGGGGCATGTGCTGTGCCGGTCCCGCGCTTAGTGGGGGGCTTTTGCGCACACTAGCGTCTCCTGGCGTTCACCCAACTTTGGGCCATTTGGTGCCTTGCCGGGCTTGCAGGGTTTTAGTTTCATTTTTTGGGCACTCTCTCTCTCTCTCTCTCTCTCTCTCTCTTAGCCTTGAGCTGCCACTTGGCCCGCCATGATAAAGAGCACCCCTAGGTAGACTGTTGCAGATTCTTAAGTACGGTTCGTGCTTCCATGCATCTTTTGAGATGCGCTCACCTGCCCACGCCTTGCCCCGATTCTGTCGGTATAGGTACCCCACCAAACCTTCCAAGGTGCTCTCGTCATCCTCTATCTGGGCCCCAAATCCTGCAAAGGGTGGCTGAAAACTATGCATTGATCTGCCGTCAAGCGTTGCCTTTCTATTTGCTTGAGAGGTCCAAAATAGGGGACTTCTGTGAACCCTTCTAAATTCTTGTGGGCATCTGCGAACGCTCAGAAGAAGCTGCCAAGCAAAGCATAAGGAGATGTTAGGCCTCGGTTGTCCAAGACCTCCTGTTCCGCGTCGAGTTCCCTCTCAACATCCAGATCCTTCCAGCTGGATGTCAGAGCATAGACACACCGCCGTGCATGGGGAGTCTGAGAGTCTGAATCCTAAATAGAAAGCCGACATCGTGAACCAACATGCATTAGGCCTTGAATCGCTTGGTTCCCAAATGACACCGAGCATCGATCTTGTTACGCACCATGAAGAATGGCACATCCCAATGCTTGAGGTCATCCAGGAGGAGTAGCTCCGCCTCGGTAAATCCTCAGCCGCAGAGGGAGATATTGAGCTTCATGTGCCACCTGCCGAGGTGCCCTGTGTCGGCTTTGCGTGAGGGTTTAGAAGCCAGACTCCCCGCCCAAACCATCCCAAAACACAGCCGAAGTTGCTCTGGTCGGTGATAAGAACGACCAGGTCGAAGTGCCGAATGCCAAGCTTCTGCAAGTACTTCCTGTGCTGAGCGAGGGGAAAACAACCTCCATGAGATGCGGGTGCCATGATCTCGTGGCTATGGTTGACACATATAGAAAAGATCCTCTGGAACAGAGCAGTTCGGTAGCCCGTTCCTGACCATAGAAGTAGGCGTGAAGTCTCACCCTGCTGGACTATGTTACATACTAGTAGCACGAATCCTGCGGGCGTCTCGTGAGAAGCAAGAAGTGATCCAAAACATGATTCAAAACATGTGCTGTGAAGACAAAAAAGTACTTGGGCAGCAAGTGACAACCATTAAAGCTTTATCTTCCCGAGCACAAACCATCAACTCTCGTCTTACAGCCAGAGCCAGTGGCCGGGCATTCGGCTGATTTGCTAGCAAGGCGTCTCCGGCGGATATCCGGAGGTTCCAACACCGGGCAGGTCCTTAGCTTCAACGTCACAAGGGCCGGCAGAAAGAAAACGGTATATATTCACAGCATAATTATACGAGGCAGGATGCATTCTACCTACCGCGCACGATGCACCTTTAACAGCACAGTTGCACGGCTCAGCGCGTCACGAGACAGACGCAGAATTCACGTCACGTCGGCTTCGCCACCCGCAGTCAGAGTCACACTTTGGTGCTCGAGCACAACATCTCGAAACAGTGAAACAAACTACGGCCGATATGAGCTATGACTGCGCTCACTAGTGGCCGCTTGCGAGATTCTGCGACGTTTTGAGACAACCTCTGCCGGTCAGAGAAAGCACGGCAGCGATAAGAAATCAACGTGTGACGATACACTATGGCACTATGGTACACTCTCTTTTGTCGTGCAGCGTATTCTGAGGCTGCCATCAGTGCAGTCGCAAAGCAGGCTGGCGCAGACCTGCCCAAACTGCAAGCAAGCACATTAACGTGTCGCATGGCGGCCGACGCTTGATCCCGGCCAGCATCCCACCAGCCAAGCCAACCAAGATCATGGCACCCTGCCTAAGTGTCGCTGTGCTGGAACGCCCAGCCCCAAGATGTGTCAAGCCCACACTCGCAAACACGTGCTCGTACCATCGCGCAGAATGCGAGCCGAGTGGCGCCCGAGCCAGCCATAATAAGCCAGGCAGCAACAAGAAGCCTACTGAAGCGAAGAGAAGGTGTGGTGGCTGCCTCGTGACATGTTGTGGTGTTTTTCCATTCTCTTCCAGGCATCGCCGCGCATGCTGTCGAAACATGTCGAAACTAAGCGCTGCAGTTAACGGCCTTGTCAACACACTCCTTGCTTGCCAACCTCACCGAACCAAAGCTGAGCTAAGAGCATGGCCAAGGCAAGAGAAAGCGCGAGAGACAGAGAGTTAGTTGAAAGCAAGATTGCGTTTCACACTATAGGCAATTATGCTCCAGGCTCAGTCCGTGGCAGGATACCAACAGAGATAACACAGCCACACCTGCAGACACGGCTGCCAGGATCAACCTGGCTGCGATGTAAAGGAACCAGAAACCCAAGAACCCTCTTGTCAGTAGGGTTTAGGGTTTTGGGTTTAGGGTTTAGAGTTTCAAGTCTTAATCCTTCACCCAACCAAGACTTCCTAACTACGAACCGCAGCAATAACATGATACCAGTAACAATAACAACGACCCATCTGGCAAAAGCTCCCAGAGCAGGCTCAGCCACGGCCAATCCTCACGGTGGAGCTCGGTCTTCCAGCCGAACATGATGCCCAGGGTGGGCTGTTAGGCCTTAAGAATCCTCATAATGAACCCTCTAAAGAGCCTTTTAAGGGATTGTTGTGGGATTACAGGGTGTAAAGGCCCATCCTGGGCTTCGTGCCAGGCTGCACGGCGCTGATCCTAGTGGGTCATTTGCCCTGGCTGGTGTCTTCCACAAGCTTACCAATGCGCCTCTGTGCATGTGCATTGATGCGGGTGTTGCTTTTGCTTATGAATAATTATAGGTGGGGAGACCTATGTGACCTGTGATGTGAGATGATACGGGCATCCGTAAGGTGAGCTCCTGACAGCAGATGTAAGCTTGAATAAGAAACAGCTGCGGATGTGCAGAAGGCCCTCTTGCTTTGCCTGGATCTCTGCTTGCGCACATTACCCACTGCTTGCCAAGCTGCCCAAATCACGCACGGCTTCTGGGTCCTCATTTTGCCAAATGGCCAGACAGCAAAAAAGGCTCAAAGACAGCAACCGATCCGATGCCATGGGTCAGCTGAGTGACTAATTTAAGCCAACGCAAGCTACAATGACAATAGTTGCCAGTTTGCGACAGCAGAGACGTGGGTTCGCACGGGTTCGCAGCAGACAGATCGAAGACGCGTTCCGCTATGTGAACTGCGAGATGCTGGCTCGTAAAGGAATAACTGATGAATTGTTGATTCCGAAGAACTCTCAAAACTTCCAAATTTAGTAAGCGTCTTTGTGAGGTCAGGACTGTGGGCAGGCTGAAGGGCTAGTCCATTCGAGGCTACTATAGGCTCACAGTCCATTTGTCACAAGGCCGGAGTTTGGGCTAGAGAGCGCCGATTTGTGGGAGGAGAGAGACAGCGCTACGAAATTACGCCCAGGAAGCTGGATACGTTTTTCTCGGAGCGCCCCTGTCGAGGCAGCGACTAGTATGCCAAGTCTCTGCACGGGGAACTTGTACATCATGGGTTCCTTAGCCAGGCGCGCAGGACGCTATGTCAACTGCTGCCAGCCGAGATTCATCTTGTACCTGTTCCTGCAAGCAGAGCTGCCATGGTAGGGCCATCCACGCAGATCTCGGCGTACTCTGGGTCGTTCGGAGACGAGACGCGTCTCACTGCGTTGACCCATGAAGACTTTCCCACACCTGCCCAAGCATCTATGTAATTTCGCTGCGCGCATTTCTGCAAGCATCCGGTGAAATTCCCTGCCTGGATAGCCAGTGACACCAATAATGATGGCCCCCTGCTCTTGTGCCGGAGCTAGGTACTCTGGCACCTCGGCTGGGAACCCTTGAGGCATATCCTACCTCCCCGGTCCAGCCCACTCCACACTCTGCCCGACAGGTAACTCAGTGCCCATGCCGGGAATCTCCACCCAACAAAGCCCGAGCAAATTGCACCCACGTCGCGTCTTCCGAGTGGCCCGAAACACTAGATCCCTTACAGCACAACAGAATCTTAAGATGGACTCGACCCCTGCCACGGCCCTGGAGAGTTCTCGGGGTCTTCAACTCCAACATGCCACTCCCGAACTCTAGACCACTCCTGACTCCTGAACGACCTCCGATCCCCCCCCCCCCCCCACACCAGCCCCCGTCATGGGCACCGGGTAGGCAAGGAGATCTGCCTGTGCATCCCGGAGCTCCTCCAGAGCAATGGCCGTCGGGTTCAGTGGGGTTCTTGGTTCAGACTCTCTTTCTGAGCTCCTAGACAAGCGGGGGGGTTGGGGAGCGCAGCCCCCCTCCCTATGTGCAAACACAATGCGAAAATCATTATGATTTTCGCAGCAAGCGTTGCAAGGCTTAGAGCTAGGTCTCAAACAAGCGGGGGGGTTGGGGGGAGGGGGGGAGCCCTCCCATTTGCAAACACCATGCTCGCATGATGGGGTTTGGAACGGATTCATATGCTTTTGAAACCAGCATTAGGCGGCCTAAAATTAGGTCCTAAACAAGCCCCCCCGCCTTTTCGCAAGCACAATGCTCGCATGGTGGAGTTTGGAAAGGGTTCAATATGCTTTGGAAGCAAGCATTGCACGGCTGTAACAAGCCCCCACCTCCCCCCCACCCCCCAACCCCCCCCCCCCACCCCCCCCACACCCCCCCCATCCCCCCCCCCACTGACCGGGTCTGGAAAGGATTCAGGATCTTTGCAGCCAGGATTGCGCGTATTAGAACTTGGTCCCAAAACAAACGGGGGTGTTAGGACCACGATTACTTTTACCTAATCAAGATTAAGTAGGGTACTACGAGTATATCAGAACACACAATCTGACATTGACTAGAAATACAGGAATACTATGATATTCAAAGCCGGATAGCAAAGCCCAGAGGACCAAGATACCAGAGGACAACAGAACCAACGGACCACAGGACCAGAAGAACACAGCAGATCAGAGGACCAGAACAGCGGGGAGCAGGAGTCCGAAAGAATCAACTTGGCTGAGTTATTCAGGACACCCTGACTGTTTGGGAGTCCCTCTTTAAAGTCAAACGGTTCCCGACATCCGGCATTTTGTTCTTAAGGATTTGGGGCTTGTTTCGGCCCGGAGGCTCCGAATTTGGATGCCTTGGTCTCTTGGCTTAAAGCCGGGCCTTGTGATTTTAAGGACGGACCTTGTGATTCTAACGGCCAACCTCATCCATTCCAACCGGCCCGAAACCATTAATTCCCTTTAAGAAACCATTTGAAAACTTGGTTCCGTTCAATCCGACAAGGGGGTGGTCCAGGAGCCCCCTCGGCCCGGAGGCTCCGAATTTGGAAAAAGCCTATGGATCCCTTTTAAATTCATATAAACTCATCCCGGATCCCTTTTCGATTCGCACGGATCCCTTTTGAATTCACATAAGCTCATCCCTTGTAAATTCATATGGATCCCTTTGAAATTCATATAAGTTCATCCCTTGTAAAATCATATGGATCCCTTTTAAATTCACACAGCTCATCCCTTTTGAATTCATATGGATCCCTTTTAAATCTATCTAAACTCCTCCCTATGAAAATCATATAAACCCCTGGGCCGTCTAGACAGGGCAAAATCCACGCCTCGACTGTTCAGGGGGGGGGGGCCTACACTAAACAGCGTTCAACATTACCAGATATAAACGTTCTTTGACATTAGATCATATACTATGTAATACAACATGAAATACATATATATATACACGAATATACAAATATGTTTTTTGAAATAGATTTTGCAAGACAAAATAAAGCAGGAAGGAAGTCCTTGTTGGCCTTCCGCAGTGCATTGACTGCTCCCTGGCCGGGCTTCGCAAGCTCGAGAGTTCAGAGTCCCCGAGTTCACAGGGGCACGTAGTTACGTATCACACTTTGAACCACTACAGTCATCATAAGGGAGAAGACTACGAGTGAGCTGTACGTGTACGAATATCGTCGAGAACTATAACGACAGCAGGGCTCAGAAATGGCAGCTCTGCAACTTAGGATTGAGGGATCTGAGATTCTATTTGTTTCTTGGCATTGCTGATGCAGCAGTAACTGTTAGGGCTTAAGGTTTGGGAAACAGTATCGCGAAACTCTTTCCCTCAGAGTTCACAGAGAGTGTTTGTCTTGCATGCCTGTGGCCACAATCTCTTACATCCTTCATGACCCACTCCCACAAGACCCGATAAATGGCCTCCAGGCGCCTTCGGGCGCAGGAGACGATTTCCTTGCAAACCATGGGATTTGCAAACGACAGGTATGCAGACTACCCAAAGGCTCCTATGTAGTACCTTTTGGGGGTAGTATACTTTAATCCCCTATAACTCAGCCAAAAATAAAAAGGAACTACATCGGAGCCTTTGGGTATACAGACTGCAGGCAAAGTGCTGGCGCCGAGCGGTTGAGGACCACGCCTGTGGATTCCTGAGGTCGCTGAAGGGGTTTACTAGTTAGAGCTGTTGAAGTGCTTTGCGGGGGACTTCGGCCTTTGAACCTAAACTGCCTTGGAACCGAGAAGCTTTCGTAAATGTTAAAATACAAACAGCAAAACTGGAAACAACCCTAAACCTCAAACCGACCCTCCGCGACCCGGGTCTCTCATTGGCGAGGTTCTCTCGTGTTCACGAAGAACTGCGACGCTCGTTTGAACATCTTTCTCGCCTCCGCAGCCTTGTCAAAGGAGAGTCTCGGGTTCGGTTGCTGTCCCTAAAGCACAATTATTTATTCTTATTTTTATTACTACTTTATTGTTATGACATTATTCCAGTATCATTACTGCTACGACATTTTTACGATTATTACAGGAGGAGGAGCATTTTAAACTGCGTTTCATGCATATGAGTCTGTGGGCTATGCCTTTGCTAACAGCTCGCGCAAAACGTTGAACATGAGCGACTAAAGGCTACGGAGGTTGCAAGGATTTTTTGCAAGCCTTCATTCAGTCTGGGGGAGCAAGAGGTACAGAGGAAGCCAGACAAACCAAGCGTGCACTGAACCTAGTCGAGCTTGGGTCAGCAATGCAGTACAGCCACCATTGTCACTTTGCAGCCTATGCGTACACACCTGTAACCGTCTATACTTGCATTTTACAGGCACATGGCCTATTCTTTGCAACCGATGAGAGGTCGGCCCTTCGAGTATGCTCAAGCAATCTCAAACAAGAACCGGCCTCGGACTCCGCGCGCTTTTGTCGTCTGATAAGCGCCTGTCGATTGGAATCCCTACAGAGGCGAAAGGCCGCTCTCAATTAAGAGGCCTTTAGGGCCTGATCAGCCTGCTCAGCATGTGATGCTGTTACACAAAACCGTCCAGGGTTGGCTTGCTCCTGATGGGGGAGTGGCGGGCGTACCACCCCAGACACCAGCCTACGTAGTAATCAACTTGCGTCCCACCTGCGTAGGTCCAGGCGCACTTTTTGGCCGCCTGGTCCTGCAGGCGAACTCTTGTGGGGTCCGATCTCAGTAGCAAAGCTACACTCCCGTTTCGGTCCAGCTGAACTTGAAGAAGTTTGCCAGCCAGTGGGCGACACCACCGACAATCCTGAAGCTTAGTGGGTCGGGCAATGCTACGGTAGCAGCACCTGCACCAGAACAGCAGTTGCTGCTGGCTTGTGACCCTTAAACATCTCAAAGCAAGAAACACAAGCACAAGTGTGTATGTTATAAAATCAGGGCCGGTAATGAGCAAAACCCGATGTTCCCTCTTTTCACTGCCACCAAGTTGCGCGAACTTCACCTTGACGCCAGGGTTCGGCTCAATTACAACCTTCCTTTTAGGCGATGTAGACATGTAGACATAACGTTGGCACGGGAAGCTCTTTTGCAGGTTATGTGCCAGGGGAGCCCCAGCCTTGTGAGCTGAGATCCTTACTGAAAAACTGAGAGCCTTACAGTCTTATCACAGGTGTTAGGGACACAGTAAGGGAAGCGTCGGCGCGCCACGCTTGAAAGGAAACCCCGTCTGCGAAGCCAAGGTGATCCAAGGTGCAAAGGAGAAGCCGGACATCCCCTGGCACGACAACGTCAGCAATTGCGTGCAAATTGGGGCATGGGTTCTCAAGCTGCTTTCAATACCCAGGTACCTTCTCAGGTACCTTTTTCGCTGGATTCTCAGGTACCTTATAAGTAGGGTTTGCAGGGTTTTGCGAGCCTAATGAGAGCCCTGAAGCCTTGCGTTTGGGAGCCTGGCGAGCCGTGTGCCGCAGCTGGCGCCCCGGCGCCCGGCGTGGCGTCGCCAACCAGGAGCCATGGGCAGAGCTCCTGGAGGATGGGCCGGGGGGGGGGGTCAAGGACAGCTTATTCATATATATATATATATATACGGTGGCTTCCGAAATTAGGGTTATATATGATGAGTAAATGGCACGAACGAACCAGATGTAAAGATCTTTTTTTAACCAAAAATGTCATAGTACACACACACACACCCAGGAAGTTTTAGTAGTTGTTAGTGGATTGTGGCTAGCGAGTAGCAATCAGCGGTTGGTAGGTGACTTTGTGGCTAGCCTAAAGCACTGGCAATACATTATGAAGCCTCAAACCCCCAATACGATAATACGCTGCTACAAAGCTTGATGGGCTTTTGGTAGGGAAGCCTTGATATGAACGATCGGACTTGCGAGCTTGCCTTGGTTACTCAACACCTTGCAGCTGTACAGGCGTCGCAAGACAGCGCTAACCCGCTAACCTCCGAAATATTTTAGGTCTCCCACTCGGCCAACTTTGAAAGACCTGAAGAAGCACTTGCTGTGGCTGCGGCAGACTATAAAAACAGGCAAAGTTTCTTGAATGGAGTGACTGACAAGTCAACAACATGTCCCATTTCCTCCGGAACACATCATCACGACTTACAGTGTTCCTGAGCGTGTGGGGCAGCGGGACCACTGACGAAGTGGACCCGCCCGCCACAGCAAGCATGGCGGGTAACGTGACACGCTTTCTTTATGCCAAGCTGTGAGCCAGAAGGCGGCGAGGCACGAGGCCCAGGCTCGTACTAGCTGCAGCTCCGACTTGCACCGCGCCAAGGCCCACCCAACATGCCTAGAACACCATGACGCCCATGAAAACCCTCGGAACTTTCTTGCATCACTCCTCACCTTTGCTTCTCCAGTCTATTGCAAGGGCGAATGCTCGGAATAACCATGGAGAACTCAGCGGTCTCAACAGTGACGCCTGCCGTGGCTAAGGCTTTGCAATTTCAAGTCTTGAATTCTTGCACACCCAATGATAGTAGCAGTCTGCAGCCCCCATAGGTTATTCATAGCATTATTACAATTAGTACTACGATGATTCCAATTACTATTCCGATTACAAACTATCGGGATTATTACGAGTACGATTACTATTCTAGTACTATTACTGTTACTACTATTAATATTAATATTACTATTACTATTACTAGCACTATTACAATTACAATTTTTTATTAGTACTATGATTTCTGAAACTTCTACTAGTACTATTAGTAGCTAGGTTCACCATTTGCACTCCAAAGTTGAGGCCGCATGTTGGTGACATCGGAGTAGAAGGCATGACTACTTTTTGTTGGTCACGCCCTCCACTCAGGCTCAAAGGCTTTAATCCATGAGTTCCAATAGCAGAACTCGTGCCCCTGACCATGGCACATCCAGGAAATTCCTGACCTGACTGCACATGTGCTTGTTTTTTCTCCCACGTAGCTGGACGGACCGTGCTGTAGGGGATTCGGCGCACATGTTCTGAACGCCAGGGGACGAAGAGAAGTTCGCCACATGTATATCTGGGCAGGGTGGCATGCCCCACAGACTTTAAGCCTTTAAGATCCTTTAAGTCATTCCACATACGCAAGGAGGGCCTGTCGCCTGGTGTATAGCGAGGAATGAAACTTGCTGCTGCACGCTACGAGTAGAACTTCTGTAGAGCAAGACTGGGCTGCAAGCACAGCCGAGTGCTGTTCAAAGTGTACCGCAGCGTTCACGGCTAGCCCGAGGGTACTCACTTGGAGTTTAACTTGTTTATCCTCTGGTTGCAGGCTGCTACCTCTGATTCTTAGGCTGTCTAGGATGCTTTTTTTTTTCAACTGCTGCTAGAATCTCAACCAACTCATTGAGATTTTGGATGGTCGGCGCCTGGTCTTATTGGTTCATGCTCTGCCCCGCTGTTGAACCCTACATGGCCGTACGATGAGCACATGCAGTAGAGGAATAACAATTATCATATAATAGCAATATATATATATATATATAAGTAAGTATATATATATATATATTGTAGATCTTATTAGACTTCTTACATGCATGACATACATACATGCATAGATGCATCCATATATATATATATGTACATCCCTAGGCTTCCTTGCGTCCCAGGCTGTTTCTGTACCCTGGGGCAAGCCGAGTCTCGATGCGGCATCTAATGACAAGCTTCGTGAGCTGGCCACAACCGTCCACGGATGCGCGAGAGCGAGGGCAGTTCGGTTGGCAAAAAAAACCCTCAACGAGTTGAGGGCTCAGGGTTTCGGGAGTGTTCTTGCTCTTGCTTGCTGATGCAAAACTTAAATTAAAGCTGTTGCTTCCACGCAAATTATTGCCATGATTCTGGCTGCTTGTGCCATCTTGTGCCTGACATGTTCTTCAGACCCGAAGGCCACAATTAGGCCCTTTGGTTGGACTGCCTGCTTCTGTAAGATTCAGGCATCACGGCATGCAGACATGCAATTACAAGTTACAAGTACTCTCAGACACGGTATCTGCAAGACCCCACCGTGACAAGATAAGGTTTCGTGGAAGTTCAATGCTTACGAACGCAAACATATCTAACCTAGTGGCAACAGAGGATTTGCAGCAATAGCAGCTTCGAAAATTGAACCAGCCCCCAAGATTAATGAAGAACTTTTCTCCCAACTTCAGGCTGTCTTTCACCATAAATCCATAAGTTCTCTGGAAATTGTATGCGGCATGACTATGATTAACAAAACGAACATGCATACATTGACACAAATGTTAATGTGGATAGAGATAAATACAAGAAATAAATAAACACAAAAAAATATACACATATGTATGGTCACCCCCCCCCCTCCCCCGCACCCCCACCCTCCATGATGCACGCCTATGTTTGCTCTGTTTGTCTTTGTCTGAATACGTGCCTTTTCCTCGCTAAAATAAAGTGAAGACTGCACTCTGTTGTGAAGAGCTATGTGCTAAATTGGGCTTATCTAGGAATTACCCGCACTAATTGAGGAACTTGAGGAATTTAAATTTTTAGATAGGCCTAAAGTCTCCATTTGCGTCCTCAATTTCAGAAACTGATGCATATTTCGGAATTTAAGGAAAGTAAAGAATGTAGGCCTACTGCAAAATTCATCCGAAGGGAAGGCGAACAAGAGGAATGAACATATTACCATTTGCTCACATTCTCTGAAATCCAAAGCTAGCCTTATCTTAGGAATTTAAGGATTTAGGGAGAGTTAAAATTTAATTACCTATAAACGTGTATTTTCCTGAAGTTCCCAAATACCTCTTATCTTAGGAATGCATGGAGGTGTTTTCTTAGATAGGCCGCCTTCTTTGAATTCCTTCTCAAATCCTAGATTGAGTGAATTGAACGGCTTTTTTGCTTTCCGGATTTGCTTTTACATTCAAAATGGAACCTGAAATGACTTAAACTCCTGAAATTCGGGTGCATGCCGAATTCCGGGAATTCAGGAGTTTTGGCTTTACAAGATTCCGTGAACTACTAAACTACGATGGCTAATTCAAAACGTTGGGGAATTTAGCACTTCAAGACAAGCCTACACTCTTTAAATTAGGAAACTTGAAAATTTGCGGATACATTTTGAATGTACAATAACCTTGAACTCCTGAAATTCCTGAAGTTCCGAAATTAGGGCTTCTTGAGGACGTTGCTCTACATTCCGTAGAACGCCGTAGAATCTTAAAAATAAAGCCTAAATAATTTCTAACATTCAGGAAGTACATGTTCAAAACACTTGCCTAAATGCACAAATCTGTCCCGCACATGTAGAACATTATCTCGACAATCTTTTGTGCGCCATGCCCGAAAACAAAGACTGTTGTCTTGGTCAGCTCACTCAAACCTGAAAAACGCAAACGGACGTAGTGGAAGCTGCGACGATGCTTCGAGATCCTGATCTTCGTGGGCTTCTGGGTTTCCTGTCACAAGTCTTTCCCTGAAACGAAGATCAAGGCTTCGAAGCACGATTGGCCGATATTTCGCTTGGGAAAAATGGCGGATTCCGGCTGTTCAACGTCTTTCAACAGATTTCAGTGGCTTGGCGGAAGGCCCTTCCACTGAGCTTTGCACACAGTCAGGGCGGCAACACTGCAGCCTCCTTAGTGTCGATCTTCTTCTCCAACTTGTTCGGGGCATCTGCGGACTCGCAGCGCCTGCGTCTCTTTCCCACGACCCAAGGCTTGATGTAACAAAATGGGGGGGGGTTTGCGATGTTGGGGGTATCTTACTGGGGTCCTTATTATAAGGGGATCCTACTATTTTTGGGCCTATATTATGGTCCCGTATCGTAAAACCCCAAATCACCGAGATGATCTCGCATGTGCAACCATAGAAATTTTGGGTCGCATCCTGAGGTTGAAAGCGACACTTGCTTGGACTAAACCCGTAACATGTCAGCAGCCTTGAAGACACCAGAACAAACTTTTATCTACAACTGCGCTAGCCCATCTGCTTACAGACGCTGGATGTTCTCGCTTAGTCACATTCGGATTGTCGTGCGCAGATCTTCATCCAGGGCCGCATAGTCAAACCTCGGAGCAAGCAGATGTTGCGCCCACGGCGGCTTCATGCACAGTCAGGTTCAGTACTATTGCCATGAAGGGCACGGGCATGGAAGCCCGGGTGTGGACGGTACAGGTGCTTGGATGTTCGTGTGTACTCCCCAACATGGGCTCCTGACATCTGATCCCGCAAAGCCGTCACCAAAGGGCCAAGGATTTGGACTCGGCTACTGTTTTGTGGGCTGGGGCAGGCTGGGACTCCTGAAATTCATGAAGCAATCACGTGCCATGTGCCTGCAGTGCATGCCTGCCCGTAACTGTCCTGACTTGTGTGGCCCCCCAAGCCTTTTTCAGTGCTCTTGCTTCTGCGTACACCAGTAGCCCGAAAACGCTGCTCCAAAACGTGCCGGTACTTGGGTGAGAATGGCTTTTCTCTGTTTGGAAACTACAGCTCTGGTATGCTCGGGTTGAACAGGAATTGAAATTAAAGGCTTTCTAGAGGCATCTGTTTCAAGAATGGTAAAAAGAGAGCGGTCTAAGACCGCATGTTCCGACAAGATACGAAGCGAAACAAACCTACAGTACCACGTGAGAGTTTGCACTCACTTGCTTGCGCTGAGCTTCGCATAGCTTTGCTGTTGAAACGCCGGCCGGTCGCTTTTGATTCTGTCGGCAACAAGCGGCCAGGTACAACCAAACATGATCAAACATGAGCAGGCAAGATAACGGCTCGGATACATGAGAAACAGGCCAGACCATGTCATACCATGCCCCCCATCTCCCTCCCTACCTTAGAGAGGAGCATTGGGCAGGGAGAATGGCTGAGTTAGGGTCTTTACTGGCGGCGATCCTGCGCGAGCTATGCATCAACCCTAAATAAACCCGACTGAGGAGCGCACAATTTCCGGTACCCTTTCCTGGTGGATATGCAGTAGATGCCTGAGGCGACCAGATCACAAGCCCAGGGTACCGGGAGCCCACTGATCCTCAAATTAATGGGCCTCCTGACAAGATAGGAGCAATTTTCAATATTTCTTAGGGGAGAAGGTGTTGGGCTCTCCGGGTGTTGAAGGAACTGGAAAATGGCATTCAGAGCAATTCAGATTCTCGGAACGTGGAGTCTCAAGGGCTTGTATTTTCAGTGCCTCAGAGGATGACTTCGTAGGATTCCTTCTTCACCCCTCTCAAAAAGGCGGTTCCAGCTGCTTCCCGCACCACACAGTAAGCAACATTGCATGAGTGTGGTCGGCGATGTCTAGCCATTGCGTGAGCTCATGCCACTGCTACTGCCACCGCTGCTACCTTCACAAGTGCCAAGTGAAGAATCAACAAACTCAGTTCCCGTCGTTCCACGTCGTAAAGATCAGACAAGTCTTCCTTGACCTTGGCCACATGACGAAAACGACAGAGCCCGCACATACAGAATGTAGTTGAGGTCAGGCGTTTGAGACCGCATTCTCTAGAGTCCCCGGCGCTGGCAACGGTATCGCAAAGGATCTCCGCCCGGACGGTGTCGTCCAGTCCATCCTTCAAGCCTGGTGATGGCTTGGAGCGGCAGCATGAACAAAGGGCTCAGAATTGTCGAGGTCCTTCCGCAAATTTATTCTTTTGGGGTGTTTCAACTCTGGGCGCAGGCCACACAGGCTTTCGGCACAGGGTGTTGAATTAACGATTTAGGCTTTCTTGAACGCTCCTCTCGGCAACTTACAGCTGAAAGGTGCGTCTGAGTCGAAGGATTGCTCTCCTCATCTGTCCCGCGAGGGATGAAAAGAACCCTTCTCACAAGCTGCGGAGGAGTGCGTCCGATACCAGGCTGGCTTTCCTGCCGTTCTGAAGGGCCCTGTTTGGCTACCAGGCAGACAAGCGGCCGCGCGCATCCCAAACAAGCTGCTCTGCCATGAACTCTCGCCTGAACGCGCGTCTTCCGATTTGAGATCAGACAATACGACAGGCCCCAAAGCCAAGAAGTGATTCACCTCAAAAAAGGCTGCAATTTTTGAAAATGATTCGGCACAACCAAGGTGCTCGATGTCCACGTCCAGCTTATTTCGCACAACCACATAGGGCACCTCACCAGTCAGCCCGCGCCGAACAGAAGGGATTGGGGATCTAAGGGGGCATGCTGAAACTCCTTGAAGGTGCCATTCCATGAAGGTACATTTGTATATATGTGTTTATATGCATATACGACATATTCTGTACTTTACTATACTCACGGGTCGCGCGCCTTCCAGTGCTTCAGCTCGTCAAGTAGGAGCAGCTCCGCCTCCGCTATCTTGTTGTCCGTCATCCTGGGCTGGTCAATCACCAACAGGCACCACCAACGCGACAACACACCCATAAGTCAGAACCCACTGTGGGGTTTAGGGTTTAGGGATGTTAGCTTATAGATATATTTGATAATGTTCAACAAGCAAGTGTGCATGACACGCAGCTGCACGATGTCCGCTTCAGAGGACTCTGATGCAATCTCCGGGCTACAAGATTGCGGGCAAGTGCTACAGGATTTCATATTGTAATAACTCAATATACATACACATCACAGAACCCCATCTAAACAGGACTATGGCGCCCGAGACCCACATGTTGCACTGCTGGGCCCTAGAAGCGCCCTGGTGATGCGCCAAGTCGCACGACCACTAGGCCGAAATGCCGCATGCCCAGAAGTTTCCTCAAAGCATGCTCTTGCAAGTTTGGGGTTTCGACCCGCTCTCGCCCACCGCTGCCAAGGGTTTGGGTTGAGGGATATATCGAGAAAAACAGTTTGTAATGTGTATATCTTTACATATGGAGTATGCATAATATGTATGGTATGTAGTATAGATCGTTTATAGAATATAAACGTGTATATATATATATATACATGTTTATATGTTTTATGTATTTACATATTTATATATATATATATATGTGTGTGTGTGATATAATACTAGATAACGTAAAAATATTTATTCACTTATCTGTGTGTATATCTATACTCTATACATATATAGATAAATAAATAAATAAATAAATATATATATATATAGAATGGTTATATAAAATACGGACGCAATTTGCTTTGTGTCTATATGCGGATGTAGATACTCAGCTTAAGTTTTGAGGGTTGATGAGGGGGTGAGGGTAAGATTCAGGCTAGGCTTGAGGGAGGCGAGCTGAGGACGTTCAGGATTCAAAGCTTCAGGGAGGGCTGAATCCTTCCAGGGATACGTCAGACTTTCGCGGAATGCTCGCGGTGTCGTGGACATGTAGATTTGATACAACTTCCTTACAAGAGCTGACGCGTTTGGCAACCTGTTCCAACCCCAACATATCGACTGCGCCAGGCTTCATGTAGGTCTCCGCGGGGTAGCCGGCGGCACCAAGAGGTGGCAGGTCCTTACAATTTAGGGTTAAGGGGGGTTTAGGGTTTAGGGTTTAGGGAGTTTGGAATTGCTTGGGTGATTCTCTGAGGGTCTGGGGGGTGTCTGGGGCTTTCGGAGTTTCTTGAAGCTGGCTGCACCCAAGTAGCCCAGAACATGCACGGTACATCGGACCTTGGTGTCTCGAGATGTCACTTGGGCGTGTGAGGGCTCGGGACCTTTGAAAGGCTTGTCCGCGGGCTTGTGAGACATGCGTGGGCTGCGGATACATGTCACACGAGTTACTCTGCTCAAACTGCCGCATGACTACACACAGCAAAAGTGAACCAAACTGAAAAATGGCTGAGCGTGGCTGAACTCTCGGATCATGCTTGTCCTGCGAGCGGCTGAGTTGGGTAGACGTACGGGACGGGAGCTGTGGTCGTTGGGGGATCTGTCCTTAGTTTGACTGAGCTTTATGAATTCTCCCCTATCCCTTCTCTAGTCAGGGCACACCACCAACGGGACCTTCTTATATGCCAGAGGCACCTTGTAGCATTCACGGCAAGGTCAACAAACGAAAGCTAAACAAACCCGCTTGTGCTCCAACGATGTCAGGCTGGCAAAGACATCAACCCCCAGCTCAGCTCCACATGATTCACACTCAACGCTCCCCAAAATGAGAAAGCAGCTGTGAGCACGATGTGCTGGCAGGGTTCCTCGAAATGTCTAAATGTCTGCACATGCGACGCTGAGGCCTCTAAACGAATAAAAGCAGCCGGACATGCGACTGTGTTGGTTCGACCTTTCGACCTGGGCCCTCCACTGGCCACGTACTCTGACCCCTAAACTTGGCCTGGCTCGCTTTGGGTTTCTATAATGTATATAATATGTATATAAGGTTCACATTTATCCGGCAAGGAGGCGGTTGCTCGAAATCCAGGAACGCGCGGACAAAGGAAGACTTTCCGACACCTGAGGCGAACTTGCAACCACTAAGATCAACTAAGGCACTCGGTTCCACACTTGAACACATTCCAAACTCCTAAACCCTACCTGAAACGAGTCAAGCGACATCCCGGAAGCAAGCATAGGTGTTGGTGTTAGTGGAACTGGCCTATGTAATTTCAAAGCTCTTCCTGCGTTGAAAGCGGCTCTGGTTCCCTGCAATGGCTATGATGAAGGCGTTCTGCTCCCTTGCATTTCGGAGATACTCCGGCACCTGAGCTTGCAGCCGATCTGTCAATGTCGTACAAAGTTTCGAGCGGCTTGCTTCTCCGAGTCTCATTCGCGGTTTGCACTCTGTTCATAAAGTCACGCGCTCAAGCAGAGTCCCCACTAGTCGACTGGGACCTCGCCAGGCCGTGTGCATCCTGTGTGTTGAACGGTGGGTCGGCAGAGCGGGACCGCGAAAAAGATATGCGAATGCAAATGATACAACTTTGGCCCCAAACAGGCTTCCACTCTGAATGGCTCTGTGGCGTGGGAACTTGTTGTGTGGCCTGCGAGCCCCAGATCAATGCACCCCTTTTCTGAAACATGCTGAAACCCAAAAAAGCGCCAGGGGCGCCAAGTAGGCCCTCGTCTGCTCGCCATAGGCCAGCGCAAGTTCACGCCGCGCGTCTTGGAAGGTCTTGAGAGCCCCCTGGCAGGCATCCTACTACATTAGACGGTATGAGATACTCTAGGCTCATGTGAGTTTGGGACTTGTGTGGTTCGATAACGTTAGCTTCACAACATCACAGTGAAACACAGGTCTTGGGTTCCAGTGCGTAGGATTGGTTTGGAGAAGCTGCCACCGCTGCTTCAGGGTGCCCAAACACAAACCAAAGACGGGTGTCTTGAGGTCAGGTTCTATCCGAATTACAGTTGCGTTTCTGCTTGTCCTTTACAGTGATGGTCAACACTGAACAAGACGCGTCCGCCAGCATCTTTAGCATTCACTTCCTTTGAGAACAACTTCGAGGGAGACGCAGCACTGACACTCTAGCAGTCACTCAATAAATGACCAGCAGGGTGTGAAGCGTGGGAAGAAGTCGACTGAGCTGTGGGCTTTGTCTACACGTACGCACTACGCAGCCCTAAGACCCTAATCCTCGTCTACATATCCAGGAGCCCACCCGCCTCCAACCGCTGCTTTGCTGATTGCACGATTTCAGGTGCCATGCGGTTCAAGAGAACCCCGGTGCTTTCCTTGGCAGAGCATCTTCGGTACAAAGTCTGGCCACCAGAGCATTTTAACATCTTGTTTAGGGTTGAGGCTGATGCAGCTTGCTGGTCCACAGGTAAGGGCAGCACCCTGGCATCCACATAGTTCTCCGCCGCCCGAAGGAACATCTGCCTGGCTGCCTGAACCTGTGCAAACGAGCCATGGAGTCAATGCGTTGGCAAAGGAAACCCTAAACCCTAAACCCTGAACCCTAAACCCTAAACCCTAAGCCCTAACCCTAAACGGACAGAGAGAGAGACAGAGAGCGAGCCTCAGTAGCTCTCAGCTTAAGGCTTTGGAGTCATTGGAGGTCACCCTGCAGGCTCATTTTGAAGCCTACCAAGCCTAAGAGACACATATGAGGAGAGGAGATGAGAGGAGTGTCAGAATATTCTTACTGTTGTTTTCTCTGATATTTCCTGGGAGGGTCCGATGAGAGAAGCCTCAAGAGACGCCATGGAGTCGCGAAGGACCAAGGAGTCGTTAGTCGCAGGATAATCCCAAAGCCCCCTCGCAACGAAGCTATGCGGATGGCATCTAAGAGAGCTTTAAATCCTAGGAACAGAAGACAGCCAAGCATTTCCAAGAGACTGATACCACGTTGACCAGGTGAGAACGCGTTTCGCTCACGGATGTATTGGCCGCCAAGCTCCCTCCCCGACATGCGCAAAACACCCTCTGACCTCCTTCTCTGCCATGTCGGGCCGTGCGAGGCTGCGTCCTCCGCTGAGCCCCAGTAAGCTGCCTGGATTGCCGCCGGTGAAGACCTGGTTGCAGAGTCTCGGGGTTCTACGCTTGCTGTCTTTGCTTTGGGCTTGGCTCGAACAGTCGCTTGCTTCCGACCACTTCACCGCAAGGAAGTCCCGTCGTATGTGGGCCTCTTTTGGGGGATCTCTGTGCAAGGAGCCCTCCGTATCGGAATATCATAGACAACCCACGTCCTACCTTACTGTTCGGTTTGGGGATTTCGGTTTATCGGCTTAGGGCTTATACAGTCTTTTGGCGTCTCAACTGTGAGGATTCGCGTCGGATGACTGGCGGCCTTGCTTTCAGGTGGCTTCTGTGTTGAACGGAGCAACACCAGGGGAACCAGTCTGCTCGGCTACGAAACCGCATTTTTGGCCAAGCATCCCAGGACGCCAGGCCAAAGCTTGCAGCTAACCTTTCTCAGACGGTGAAAGCCAACAGCAGTCGTCATCATAGTAATACTATACCAAGAACTACAGCAATAGTCAAAATGGTCAGAATCAAACGGCTCCCGCTTGTGCCAGGAGATCGATGGACCGTCAACACCTATATGGCAATGGCCATTGGGAGTTTAGAGCCCTTCCAATCTGAGGGTAGTTTCATGGGCCCTTAACAAGGTCTCTAACCTCAGGGGTTCTGATGTATGGGCCCTTGGTGTGTGCAGGGTAGATAAGGGTATATAAGGGGTACAGTGCCCTTTTAAGGGCCCATATTGAGGGACACGTAACTGCCCTTAGACGCAACAGGGCGGGGTATCTGTCGGGCTTGCGATCGAGCTGAAGTCCCCATGTTCGGCTCTGTGGCTGCTTGGACCATTGAGGCACACCTTCCAGGTGCCTTCTGTCAAGGAATACATAGGCCCTGAACTCTCATATTCCGAAAAGAACCCATGCGAATGCTAGAAACAAGACACACGAGTTCGAGAGAAAACAAGAGGGTGGGTTTAGGGTTGATATAGCGGTTAGGGGTTCAAATGCCAAGGAACACGATCTCCGTCGAGGAGAAATCCCCCGCTCCTGCCCTGAATGGAGAACAGGCGTTGAGTGGGCTGTTGTCCCCCGAGACCCAACCCCATGAATTTGAGGATTTGACTGGTTCATAGGTTCAGAGGCTCTAGTCGGGCAAAGAAAGTTTTTTGGCAACCAGCCTCAGCTGTGGGTTTTAACGAACGTCCGAAGCCCCGCTGGTTCCCGACGCCCACATGAACTCCGGCACCTTCGGGGCACCCGTGGCTGCAGCCGAACACGCAAAGCTTTCGGTGCAGGCCGCAGCGGAGCAAGCCTCCAGTAGGCAAACCGAGCGAATTTCTGAGATACTGAGATACTGACACATCCTCGGTCCGGGATCGAGGTGGAAAGTGGGGAGTAGCGTGACACAAGTGTGCACGTTCCGCATTCTTGTGACTCTACCAGCTGTAGTTAACATAACCATTGTACGGAGCCCCAAGCCGCGATGACCCTCTGCCTTGAAACTGTCGGCCGCTGGTGCCAAGCACCAAATGGCTCCATGGCGCTGTGCATCGGCACGGAATCCCAAGGGGGAGAAGGGATGAGAAGGGATGAGAAGGGGAGGGTTTGGGGATCCTGGAGGCTGAAGCTGAGGTCAAGATGTAGGAGGGCTTAAAGCTATTGACGCAGCATCTTTCGCAAGGGCGGCGACCACGAAAGCATATCTCGAGAGTTGCACATGCCTGAATTGGCGAGGGCGTCGGCAAGGCTGGTTGTTCTTCGTCTCGGCAACTGGAACGGGATATGACACATGAAACGCTAGCAGTCTGGAACGTGAACACCCCGTACTGAGAATTTGCACCGAATTTTCATCTCAGAGCACCTGACTCTACCTCCTATTTGCTGGGGCCGGTTGCGGAGCGGCGACGCATGGTGACATGGTGCCTTTGAGCAGCCTGAAGCGTGCGTTCTGTCTTAGCAGGCAGAAGTTTGTTTCGACCCGAGCAGTGTTCATACAAGCAAGACAACATGATGCGGGCTGCGCCTACATGTGAGGGCAGGGCCAAAGCTGAACATGCCAGTACAACGCTTCTATTGGTGAGGGCAGTGACTGGGCAGTGTGAGGCTGAGTTCACAGAGCCATAGCACAGGATGGCAGGCCTGGTCAAACGACGCCAGCACCGCATTGAAGACCAGGGTGTTCGGCTGCACCTGTCAGTCTCGCTCCCTGCAGGTATCTCTGCGCTTGCGGATCGAGCACCTGCAGAGGAACCACTCAATGAAGTGCCCCTTGCAACCTTCCCTGAGCAGGACACCTTCATGGAAAGTCCAAGGCCCGTGCATCCAGCTTCTGAAAATGACCTCTGCTCCCACATGCGCCGTTTGCAGCCAAGCATGATGGCACTGAGCTGCAATGGGTCTGTCTCTGCAGCTGCAGCAAAAACCAGCAACAATTGCGAAGGTCAATGCAGATAAACATCGGGGCTGTGGTATCTGCTTGCTCATCTGCTTTGCACGACGGCCAGCCATGGGGCGCAGCAGGGTAATCGCAGAGTCCCACTGCACAGCCTCGCAGAAGCTCGACCGATGTGACCCTGGGAGTTCTACAGATGCTGCAGGAAAAAACAGCAGATGTGGCCATGCTTAAAGCCTTATTCGACTCCACTTCATTCAAACCCAATGATCAGCCTTCGAGGTTTTGCGCTGATTCCGTACCGGCTGTGAGAGTTCCGACATGCCGCGATGCCTTCCCGCAGGCTGCAATTGTCGCCGAGAGGTGGAACACGTTTAGCTCCACACCTGAAGGCCAGAGCTGTTTGACTGTCTCCGGGCCAGTCAGATAGTTTTTGTAAACCCCAAGATAGTAGATGGAAGGACTCAACGCTACTAAACCCCATGTGCGAAAAAATTGCTGCCTGTACCATCTGTCAATGCAAAGCACTCGGCCTGCTCGCTGCGCGCGGTTCAGGAGCTCCAGCGACTGCTCCCATCCAGCCTGACCTGAGGCAGATTTCAAAAGCAGCCCTAAACCTAAACCCTAAACCCTAAACTCTCAACCCTAAACCCACGTGTTACTTTTAGCCAACTTGTAGCCTGTCTTAGCAGAATCCAAAAAGGCCCCCAGGGCTGTGGCTGGCCAGGGCTCTGGTCAGCGTTGGGCCTTGCAGTGGCCTTGCCGTGTCTAAACCGGCGCAGATTTGAGGTTTATCGTCATTGGGGTCCCTGTTGGGCGACCTCTCCATAAGGTCGATAAGGGGCATGCGGAAGATTGTGAGGGGATTGGGAAGGGCTCCTGAAGGGCGGAAGTGTTGAGCTATGTGTTCCACCTCGGAAGCAGGGAGCAATCTCAATACTCTCGCCTGGCCCGGGTGTACAGCCAGCAAAAACTGCAACTGTCTTGACATGCAGCCGTGTAGACAATCGAGTCGGAGCATTACACCTGAAACCGGGCATTCCCTCGAAGCTGACACCTGATCACGTGAACCCTTCGCGCCTGCCGTGGACATCCTTCATCACACAACGCGCCACGGAGCCGAGGAAGCCACGACGCTTGGCGGGGGAACGCCATGGCGAGCTTGGCTTCAGGCGTGCGCGTTGGGGTAAGGATGCTTGGCCGTGAGCCGTGATGCCGTGAGGGGTTTGCAGCTCCAGAAGTTCGGATACACAGCGCCAGGTAATTACTTACTTAGCGAAGAATCACGGAACTATGGACAGAGCAAGTGAAAAGGAGCGGCAGTCGGAGGCACTCTCCCATGTCTTCTTGGATTCCGGGCGATGTGTGTGTGAGTGTGCGTAAGGTCAGGGTCTGACTCACAAGCAGAAGCGAGCCAGAGGAAGCGCTCTTCCGAATCAAATCACAGGCTCTCGACTTTTGTTCGCTGTGAGCTTGCATCTACACCGTCAGGAAGGCGCGTCCCGGGTTTGCCCTAGCACTATCCATGTTGATGCTCTGGGTCGAGCATTGGCCCAAACTGCCTCCGCGGCATTCTGAGCAAAGCATTCTTAGCAATGAAATGATCTCCGCTCCCTGCCCTTTGGAGAGCAGAACATGAATTGCTCCTGTACCTGCTCTGGCCACAGTGAGGCCAGGAGCATGCATGAGCTTGGGGAACTTTCTTTGCTTCAAGGCAACGAATTTACCCTTTTTCCGTAAGGCGTATTCAAGCAAGCTGCAGCTAGGAACCCTAACAACCAAAGAAACGACACAACTACGCGAGCTCCGGTGCCCGAACTTGCACCCTGTAAAGCCTAAACCACCCCCTCCGGAACAAACCCAAGGGCCCTAGACCTGTAGGACGCTCAGTGCTTCGAATGGAGCCCGAAAAAGGCAGATCTCAAAGGCCGTCATGAAAAATCGATGGCTCCAAGACGCTAAAGGCGTCACAGCTGAAAAGGCCGGAAATTTGCATCCTTCGCGGCAGATCCTGCACGAACACAAGCCTAGGCACTCAGAAGTCAAGGCTTGTAGGGTCGTTTTCTAGCACCCTCATGAGCTTGGGCACATTCAGCCGGGGGCAAGGGCATTGGTACTGGTATGAAGACAGATTGCACGACTTTACTTGAGATGTGGGGGCAGCCACTACGCAGCATGTGCATCACCTTTCGGTGGGCACTGCAAGTGCCTAGATCCACACGGCACCACTTCATGGTGAGCACTTGGATCCGAAGGAAGCTTGGAAGCTCGCCAGGCTGACATGGGAACCCAATGTCGGTCATGCTCCACTCTGACTATGAGGGTGCAATGCATTTGGAACTTGGATTCCCAAAGCACTTAGGCGCGCAGCTGTGCTCCAAAGGGTGGACATGAACACCACAGCAGGCCTGGGACTGTGAGTTGAACACAGCACCTCCTGCTTCACATGACGTCTGGCACTAGAATCGCCAGAGCTTGCCTCAACTGCTCAAGAACCTGGGTTCCTGAGCTGCAGACACAGGGGTCAGGCTCAATTCTCTGCTCTTCCAGAACTGCAGCCACGTACAGCATGAGGGCAGCCGGATATGAGTGACCCCTCATTGATGCTTGCCACAGTCCTAACGCTGCAGCCTTCTTGGACTCGGCAAATTCGTAAGATAACATAGCCAGCTAAGATATTCTAGTGTTCTTAAGGGAGGGGTGGGGGGTTCAACATGTTCAACTTAAGCCTAAGTTTCTCAAGCCCTTCCTTGAAGACTTGAAGACCCTACTACAACATCTCGAACAGGTGGTCACAGAACTTCCGAGCGTTGACAAGGCAGGCGTCAACAGGTCCAATGTCTGCATGACGGCATCTCCTCCAACGCCAAACCAAGCCTTGGCCGCATCATACCTCGCAGAGAGCCCAGTACCCTTTAAGGAATAAGTATGCCGTAAAGCTGTTCTCTAGGCACGAGCTAAAGTACAACAGTGCGACCTCGGCTGCACGTGGCCACGGGGCCGTGCTTCATGTTTGCATCTGCGTAAGTTCTGTTTGCGCTTGTCTTGGTTGGCCAATTGTGGCCGGCAAGCCTCCTTCGGGCCTAAGCGTTTGCTGCTCCCATCCACACATCCGTCACCACATCCACTAGAAGCACCCGACAATCTTTCAGACAAGAGAGGCAGGCCCAAGCGCGCAGGGGAAAGGTGCAGATGAGGCCGCTTGTTTGACTCTTGGACTCTTGGACCTCGCATGTAGCCGGCCCTGTCGATTTCTTGGCCCACCAAATCCCACATTTGGACAGTTGGGGGAGGACGGGGCTTGCACCTTTGTCCACTTCCAACTTGCACGGTCAGTGTATGACCATGACATGCACACTCGAAAGATTTACCTTCTGGCCTGCGCACATGATCCGCTGTTGATTAGGTATGGCAGGCAGACCTACACTGTGGAGCTTCTGAACGTCTACATGCAGCCTGAGGACACCAGAAATGTCAACGCAATACCCGGCGAGTAAATCAGAACTCGCGCCCCAACACCTCAGCTTGAAATGAATGCTGCTCTTCTCCACATCGTGGTCGCACATTGTCCTGCAGAACGTCTGGCGCTCGTTTGGAGCGCTGCTAAACTAAGTGCAGGTGCCGCGAAAAAGCTTGTCCAGGCTGGGAATTTCGTCGCCTGCTCCTGTCGGTCTTCTCAAGTCTTGGAGCGAGTGGTTATTGACTTTACATTCTGCCTCCAGTGATTTTCATACAGCCCGGGTCTGTAAGTCTTGGCCACACCTATGAGACCTAACAATGACAAGCTTCGTATGGATAGTCGGGGCACTTTAGATGAAGCCTGTCGCCAAGTGCGCTCAGGATACTTACGGTTTTCACTCACACGCTGGCAGGAAATCTCGCTGGCTAGGACCGAGCAAGGGCCTCCAGTTGTCCGCAGGGCAAAGAGAGTGTCGATAGGATGCCTGCAACAAAAACAGCCTTTGTGGTTTTGTACTGGGGTTCGATGGGAACCTAACCTCCCAACCGAAGGGAACGTTGCACCACCGGGGTTTTCAGTTCAGGGTTGGGACTTGGGCCCACTTGCAAGCCTGCAACTTGAACTGCAGATGCTCCCCCCATGGCTCGAACGTAATTAGTCCATTTGCGCTTTAAACTTTGAGATTTCAGAGCCTGCTGCCCCCAAATAGGAACGACACTATCTACACTTCACTTCAAGCCGGAGAGGGGGAAGGGGCAGTGCATTTTGTATGCTCGGAGCCAGGTGTATCTTTATCCGCGCCTGAGCAACCTGCCCAGTTCAGAACAAAACAATGCTGAAGGCTCACCCCTATACCAGCATGGCAACCTTCAGCTGTAAGCAACGGGCTGTGAGGATCTCACAACGCCCCCGCCCAGTGGCACTCAGGGTGTGGCCCTACCGCCCAACTCCCCCAAACCCGGAAGAACCTCACCCCTCCAAATGCTACTACTACCACCAAAGCCAGCCCTCAGGCTTTGAGGGAAGCCCCCTTTGAAAGCAGCCGAGGAGCGAAGTGATGGCCCCCAAGGCACCAGCCACGGCTCCGCAGCCGCATGCGACGACCAGGGACTGAGCCTCCCCCACAAGCAGAACAAGTATGGGCTCTCTGAATCTAAATGATGGTCCCTTTTTTTGTTTGGGGGGGGGGGGGGTACTAGTAAGCGGCGCCCTGAATACTAGAAAAAAACAAACATGATTCAGAGAACTCACCATATGGGCTCTCATTGTGGTTGGGTCCATCTCGGCAGCCTCAGCAAAAGCCGGCACGACGAAGAGTATGGTTTCCTGCGGGGTGGTTGTGAGGCCATCGGATCAGGCCGACAACTGAAGCCGCTAGAAATTCTGCACTGAAAGGGCGGACGAGTGCGTGCAGGACCCCACAGATCTTCAGCAAGGCGGCACGCAGCGAGTCGAAAACCAAGAATTTGGTCACCACGAAGGCCAGCTCCTTTCCTGATTGCCCCGGTAGTTTGAGGGCTGCCCATGGTACTGCCAATTGGAATCTCGATCTATGACATGATGCAAGGCGCATGCCATACCCAGACACAGACCGCAGATGCAGCTCGAGTCCTAAAACATGTTCCCTCGCAGCACCCTCAGAATGCCCCCCCTGCGACTCAAGCAGCCACTAAGCAGCCAGTACTCCTCGTAAAGCTCTACAGCAGCCTGGGAAACAACGGTCAAGTCATGCGATCAAGCCCACCAGCAAAGAAGACAAACCTCTCTGGTTTGCCCTTTTGAATTGGATCGTCGTGGCAGCTCTGCGTGTGCAACCTATACCTGTATTATGTGCTGGTCAAGAAGGCTGAGGAAAGCTTGGCAGTGAGCGCCTGTAGTGGTGCAGCTCTCTTGCAGCCTTCGTTTTTATCAAGTTTGCCCAACTCACGAAGCCCTGAGGCCCCCAACCCTGCCTTCCATGGGTTCGCCTGCACCTTCTCCCAGAGCAATGAGAGACCAAAGAAGCGGCCCTGGGGACCTTCTTTGCCGGCCATGACTTGAGTGGTCCTTGGGGCTGGCTCTTTACAGGGGCTTGGGAGGGCTTTCAGTGGTTTGTAGTTTGTAAGGGCGCTTAGAGGTGATAAGGTTTGGGTTCTGGCGCAGAGGTTGGGCTGTATTTCTGTTAACTCGGCGTTTGGGGCTTCAGGAAGCGCAAGTTTGCACTCTATTCGGGCGCGCTGACCATGTCGTCAAAGGCCTGCACCTTCGGTTTAGGGTTGAGGGTTTAGGGCTTAGGGCAGAGCATGTTGACTTCAACCTGTCCAACAACCCACAGTCTGGAGGAAGCCTCGGAGGGCAAGGCTCCCTGATTCTGACCAGATTGATGGGGTTCCACTAAGAGCCTACACTGGCCTGCACCCTTTCCCCGATTCCCCGAGCAAGCCCACCGATCTTCAAGACTTGATCCCCAGTACCGGGCTATCTTTGAAACAAAAACGTTTTTTTCGGAAGATCAAAGTTCCAAAAATGGGCAGGCGAGGAGCAAGACCTCCCAAGGTGCTCCAGCCAACATGGTGATGAAGACGCTGGCCACGGAAGCGGCAATCTGATAGTGCCAAGGCTAGGATACATAAAAGCCAGACGAAGCTATGTACTGGCTCGATGCTCTAAACTCATCTCGGAAGCTCAAGGTACAGTTTCAAAAGCTCTTGTGCCAGAGTGTGCAAGGACAAGCGTCGATAGCCAGCAACTCGTTGAGACCAGGGAACTGTATCCTCAGAAATGCAAATCTCCCTTCCTCGCTCGCCCTCTTTCCGGTGCTTCCTTACCCTTCCCTCCCCTGCTTCCCTCCACTCTATGTCCATCCACCCTCTGGACCTCCTGGCGTATGCAGAGCTAGCGCGAGCCACGCGGCACCAGCTCCCTGGACAGGAACTCCTGTCACACCAACTGCGTCAAACTACGTTGCAGTACGTTTCTTTCTTGGGGGTTTTCACCTGGGCTCCTTGACTCCGAAGCTAAAGAAGCCGAAAACGACGGCGTAGATGGCAACCACATCCTGAAAGAGGGGAGGCCAGCACACCACTGCACCGCACTTACTACGAGTAGCTGACCTCATTGCCCACACGTTCCGACCGACTCTGCAGGCAAGAGACCACAGCTTTGTAGAACGAAACCGCCGGCTGTGTCCTCGAAAGCAGTGTGTTTATTTGATACCTATCTAGGTGAGGATGTGTGTGGACTTGAGCGACCTGCAATGAAAGAAAACATATCTAAAGATCTCAGCAACACCCCGGAGATGCAGGCCAGGGTCTTGAAGTCTTTTGAGCGCCCACGGTCTTTCAAGAAATGTGCTTCAACAAAACCCTGCAAATAATCTAGGTTTTGTCACTGCTGAGGGTCGCCTGGTGCATTGAGGCATGAGCCTGGCCTCTTGAGGTCGAACGACGTGCGCTGGTCCAAAGTGGAGGGACGAGCTCACGCCATCATGCTTGGTTGGACCCTCACGTGAGTGCGAGCACTTGCAGGCACCACGTCAGTACGGCCAAGTTCTTGTCTAATTAGTCGCAGTAAAGGTCTGAGTGCCCCCGTTGTGCGCCGCCTACAGGCTCCAGGCCAGGCTGTTTTTGGCCTTGATGGGATGATGAGATATGATGCGTTCCTCACACACGTCATCCATGTGCGCGATGCTCGAGAAACGGTCCCCTCAGGCCGATCCATCGGCTATGGCTCGTTGTCCTTTTGCATCTCATTTCTCATGTTGTCTCTCATGCCTCTCCATTTTAGGAGGAGGGGAGGCGCGTGCCTCAACTTGCTAAGCCGTCGAATAAGCCCGACACGTCCAATGCTCGGCCAGGCGGCGCCGCGATCTCCTTTACAGCAGCGCCGAGGTCGCCACCACCGAGGTCGGGGTTCGTCTGCATGCGTACCTACTCGAAGAAAATCCAGCTTACCGGCAATGAACCTCAAACGCGCAAAGTCACGGAGGAGCAGGTTTGATTGTTGCCAAGGATGCTGAGCATCGGGTTCATAATTTGGGCTGGGTCTGGTGGACCCGCACTGGCCAGTTTGACCGGCGAGGTGTTGCCACCTGCCTAGCATGGTTACCGGGGTGGGGGCTGACGGCAGCCTGGGCTCGGGTTGACCACACAGTGTACGAGCACAAACATGCTGGCCTTCACGTTCTGAATGGGCAGGAAGAGCAAAGCCCTGCCCAGCGTTGACTCACCGTGACTGGAACAGTGCAAAACCCTTGAAGTGGAAGCGTTCCGAAGTGCTTGGCCATACGGGTGCACTCAGCATCTGTCTTTGCAAGGCACCTTTGCGTTCCTTTGCAGGGCTAACCTGCCTGATAAGCGATGCCGTTGCTCCAGCAGCCATGAGCCGAAGGAAGTCGCCCACCTCGTGATTTCAGTGTTATCAGAGGACCCAAGACCACTTTAAATCCAGGACTGTTACGACTTTTTGGGCTCCCCTGAGTCTGTGGTACACTGGGAGTGTCTGGATATCCCTGGCGCCTCCAGGCGCCTTTCACGCTCCAGAGGTGAAAGGCCTCGGGAAGAGAAAGCGAGGACTTGGAGCTGCGAAAAAGGGAGGCCTGGCAACTTGGCAACCACTAGAATGCACCAAAAGCGCAGCCCACCGTCCATCCATCTAATCGATCTCTCTCTTTCTCTCTCTATATATATATATATATATAAGAGATTGTATTTACTCATATATACACAGATGTATCTAAATATGCCCATGTAGATTCCCCATTCTTCATGACATCTCTCGGGCACGTGCCCACAGGGCCGTAGGTTGAGTCAAACCTCCAGCCATGCACTTTTCAACAACTGCCGCGCCGAAGTACTCACCCTGCAACGCACGCAGCTGAGGGCGTAACTCTGCAAAGACAAAGCTTGCGCGAAATCGATCAAGCTGCCTGACGATGCAGGGAGGGAGGCAAGACGAGGCTTGGGTTTAACTAGGCCCTCTCTGGGCATGGAGGGCCTCTTCTCAACAAAACCTAAGAAGAAACCTTCGACGTTTGTATAGCCTCTTCTCATTCCCTGATCATTCTACGAGTGTTTTAAACGCAGAATAACAAACTTGTAAAAATTCTCAGTACCTTTGAAAACTTCTTGGAGGGTTGATGCAAGGTGCTTCTTTTGGGTAATTGCAATCATTTGTAGACGAGTTTGCCGGGCGCACGCTAAACCTTCGAATTTAACATCAGCCCCGTCTCCCCTCTCCCTCTCCCCCACCCTCTCCCCCACACTCCCCCCCTGGAGCGGGGGGGGGGGGGGGTAGCAACTAAAGGAGGTCTCCACGGAGCTTCAGCTGTTGGAGGTGCAACATACTACACGAGCTTCCGTATTAATTAAAGTGCTTGCAACATCTTCTTGTTTTTACCCACCTCCGAGGCCCTGCGCGCCTCTTGCCCCCGAAGACTTCATCCAGGCGTTGCTCCTCCTCAAGGGGCGTCGGGTCCGGAGTCAACGGAAGCGCCTGATCAGGCACCTGGGCGCACGGGGATCCCAGTAAGGCGAACGCGCGCTCAGATTCCACTTCTGCAGAGCCGACGCTGAAAGAGCAGCTTTGAGTTGCATTCACATCTGTGGAGTTCCAGACCCTCGACTTTATGCTTAGAAGCCCTGGTTCCAAGAACTGTGATGACATGACGGGGCCGCGGCTAAGCGCCCAAGCTTTTTGCTGTAGGACGGCAGCAAGAACCTTTGGTGCAGGTGTAGGCTTGGGGTCGAAGGATCCCCTTGGGCCTTAGCCGCACATTGGGATATGTACAGGATCTATGCATCTGCCAGGCAGTCGGCCCTATCGGCCCTAACAGCAGGCTGGCTGCGACTAGCAAACAGGACCTGAAGAAGACCATCGTGATGTGAGGCGAAGCAGGTCCATGCGGAACCGCAACCAAGAAAGTATCACGTAGCGGGCTCCCAAACAACCCCTCACATCTGCGAAGCTGCACTTGGGGCTTAGGCTTATTGCATGGTTCAGGGGTCCACGACACACGGCCCTCTGCTTTGTAGCAAAGTAGCGATGGGAGGAGGTTGGTCAGCTTGCCTCATGGTGCTTGGTTTGTCCAGTATGACACGCCCTGTCACATTGTCACTGAATTGTCACAAGCATCCTGCAAATGCGCACATGGCAAAGCTGTCATGCGGATGACATGAGGTTATATGTCTAAACTACGCCGCAGCCAGAAATCCACTTCCGACGGGGCTGCAAGACCTGAATGCTTCTGAGTTTCTTTTCAAGCCGGCAGCCTGCAAGTCACTGTAGTCATCTGTGAGGAGTTTGCATGGGTAGGGAGAGGGGGAGGGGGCAGCGGGAGAGTCTCTCTCACAATGTACGACATGCGCATACCCGCTCACCGACATCCAACTACATGGACAAGCACCGGACAAATACCTTCCTTGCGGGTTCACTTCCAGCGTGGTCACTTGTTTTGCAAAATGCTGGTTTCGCCTATGCAGGAGTGCAGAAGGTGTTCTTGTGGCCTTTTTTTTTTTGGAGGGGGGGGGGGGGGGCAGGTTTTTGAAGGCCACTTGGTCAGACATATTGATGTGAAAAATCTTCGTGTAATGATAATATTGCTTCGCTGTCGCTTTGACTTGAGGCAAGGAGATCTTGTCAGACTCTGCTACAGCTTGAAAACCAAACAGTTCCAACCCTCCTACATCCTTTAGGGCCCAAGCCCAAGGCTAAGCTAAACTCTGTAAATCAGAAGCCCTTTCAATCCTAAACACTTTTGCATTTTACACCCCTGGCACCCTCTAAAGCTACGTTCGCAAACCCTCATGAACAGAAGCCGAGTTTTGTTTCTGGGAATGAAGCTTGTGGATATAAATTGTGTGTTGTGCATTTTACATGCTTTGACACACGTTGTTTTTTTGATGATGGGCTTGAGGGCGAAGGGCTTCCGATTAAACGTTGATACTACTCCACCCCCCCTCCCCCTCCCCCTGAGGCAGATCGCAGCCAAACACAACAAGGAACAAAACGCAAGACTCGAAGGAACAACGGAAACTATAGCCCTGAGAGGTGTCTGCTGCGGCACATGTCCGGAAACACTGTGAATATGAAGGTATTCAGCACTTTTTCGCAGTGGAAGGTCCATGACAAGGACCGTGACGAAACAGCAATAGTGTAAATCCCCACGTTGCAACCGAGCCCCCCTGTAGCATCTTGCTCATACCCATCGACTTCGGGTGCTCCCTGAAGACGTCAAGTCCTTCAAGTCTTGGGCCCCCGCCAGCTCTGTCCCCCGGTCTGCGTTGCTCGCGCGGAAGGGCGCAGACACTCGCACAGTGAAATTCGGTGCCCGAAGCATCTGAATACCTGCCTCAGAAGAGTTGCAAAGAAGGCAGCAGAAGGTGCAAACCCTTGCAAGTACGTTACAAGGAGCTTTTCTTTGCAACAGCTCATTGCATGATTGCTGCTTTAAGCCCGTGGTTTGAAGGATCTGTGAGGAGGCTTCACGTTGGGCTGCCGCCAAAACCTGTGCCCGGGCGAAGACGCTATCCTGTTTGTCTTCTGCCCTTGACACGATGAGTCAACAGTGTCGGTCCATCAGTGAGGTTCCCTTAAGCTGAAAGGACCTACTATAGGTGTAGGGTTTTGTGGGTAATTATAGTACAAGCATAATTACAAAGGGACCCTAAGGGAATGACATTCTTCCGACCCTATAATGAGCCCTCGAACCCCGCCAGAGAAGAGCCGCCGAGCTGCTGGGAGGACAACCTTTGCAATTGGCGTCTCGTGGGTTTAGGGTTGAGGGTTTAGGGTTTATAGGGTTTAGGGTTGGGAATCATTTTCATCGAGAGGTGGTGTGTTTGTAGGGCCTCTGGGGCCTCTAGGGTTCAGGTCAGGTATGGAAAGGGACTCACACATGCCACGCAGATGCCATACATGGGGAAGATCCCAAAAGGGAAGGACCTCGTCGAGGGGCAGAACCCCCTACTGGCCCGACTGCATGGTACTTAAATCAAGAACATGCCTCGATCCAAAGCTTTAAAGTACACGGGGGGTGGGTAGGGGCTCGGCACTGGCTGTGTCAGCACACGCACACACCCACGCACCCGCAGCAAACACGAGGGAGCACGGCACAAGTAGCCGAGTCCCAACTGGACACGATACGCATTCCACTGTCCCCTCAGTGCGATCGTAGTGCCCAAGACTGCAGGCAGCGCCCCGGGGACTGGGACTGGAAGGTTCATCCATTCAAGGGCTAAAACATAGGCCTCCTCTATTCGTTGTACATGTCGGCCCTCAGGTTGGACCATATAGCGAGAGGAAGGCTAGTAAGCACGCACACGCGCAAACTGCAGCGCCCCCCCCCCCTCTAATTTTGCAAAGTCTACCCCTCAGATTCGTATCGTAGTTTCAGATGTCGATGATCTTACAAGTATTCGACATGAAAGGCCAGTTCCTTTAACTAGAACTAACCGTTTGGATTTGTTCAGCTTTACCCTCTTGCCTAGTTTAGACAGACTAGGCCCGAATTGCGAGGAGGAATGCTAAGTTATTCAACATTGTCAAAACATCACTGCATGAATGCAATGTACTGTATGAACTTACCTCTCAGATTGGCAGCTTTCATCTGAGAGGTCACCCCTATTATTCTAATGCGTTTGCAATATGTTTATGATGGCTGATCAAACTTGGGTTGACATTGCCAAACGAACTTTTTTGGAGCAGAGGCTGCAGCGCACATTTCTACTGAACTTTTTATCTTATCCTCTCGCGATATTAATGAATGAAGACTGCATTCAATCAAGATGTTTTTGGCTTTAGATCCTAGGTGGAGAGACATGGCCTAGAACGATTTCTGCACACATGCGGGAATGCTGTACTGGAGACACAGACGTTTATGGCAAAGCCACGGATTCATGAAGGTTATCCACTCATAGCAACTCAGTTTTCGCGGATGTCGATATCACCTTGTCGGCCCTTTGGTGGTTAAAGTGGCCAGCGTTTCCAAAGTCTAAGTCGTTCTGAAGTTCCTTAACGTTCCTCATGACACGTCTGCGAACAAGCTGCTTGCGGAGTGAGATCCATATCAGCAGCATACCCGCTCCCAGCATCACGCACGGTGGCAGCCTTCGTATCAAGGAAGCACAGAGTTCCCATCTTGCAGAGAACCTTTCTGCTCTCCCAGCCAACCTGCTCCAAAAAAGTGCCTGGTGCACCCTGAACCCTGATTGCAACAAAAATCTCAAAAAAAACAAAAAAAAACCGAAGCCCTAGCTCCAAAAAGCCGAAAGCCCGCCACCTAGCCCTACTGGATTCTGGCACCTCGATTGCGTAGGTCGTGTTGACTCGGCGCATCCTTGGCACGGGGGTGGAGGGTTTTAGGGTTTTGGGTTTAAGGTTAGGGTTTTTTCTCCCTCCTGCACCACTGGGGTGAATCCGCACCGCAGGAATGTCCACGAGACAAGCCAAGGACTTCGCTGCGAAAGCTGGATCTTGTCCAGAGGACTACTCTGGCATCCCTTTCTCGGCCCAACCGGACGTGGTAACATCGGCGGCCCAACTCTCACCATGCAAGGCAGCACAAGCAAGACGTCACAGCTTTCACTCAAGACATCATCAACCAAGCAGGTTTCCTTTAGCTCGCAGATCGCAACTCCCTGTCGCCTGCCGACCATGGATACTGCAAGCAGCTACCACCCCCACCTATAAAAACATAACCTTACTGATAGCAGAAACAGAGCCCGCTGCAATTCAATTCTTCCGGGCACAAAACATGTGAAACAGCACTTCCCTTCCATCCCGCCGCTGACTAATTAAGGCATTGACTGAAGAACTGCCGTAGCCCGCCGGCCATCTGTCAGGGGCTGGACATGCAACACAATGACATGGAATCGAAGGGCAGCACTGCCCGCATTCCCTCATCGACCATCGGCTCCCTCTCCCTGTTTGGTATTGTTTGGTGATGAAGGGGCGAAGGGGCTGCCGAGGATCGATGAAGGTAACGCATGGAAACGAAATCTGACCCAAACGCTCCTTGACCAGGAGGCGTTGGTAGTGTCAGTGACAGCTCCGAGACGTTGGCCTCTGCCTCAGGCAATGCAGACAAGAAAGCCGGAGTTTCTAGCAAGCATGTCGTTCATGCTTTATTTGCCTTCGTTCCTTTTGAAGGAGAACTTTCCTGCGCAGGTCCCTGCTCCGAGATGGTCGCAAGCAACGTCTCTTCTTCTTCTACGGGGCATGAAGGGGCCGGGAACCCCCCGCGCTCGCGGGCGCGCCCAGCCCACACGGTCGAGTCAGTCGGTCTCTCGGCCTCTCTCTCTTCTTCTTCTCCTCCTCCTCGTCCTCCTCGTCCTCCTCGTCCTCCTCGTCGTCCTCCTTCTTCTTCTGCTGCGGCCAGGCAAGAAAACCCATACCCATCTCTCTCTCTCTCTCTCTCTCTCTGCACGCATGGCCCCCTCCCGAAGGAGAGAGCCGCCCCGAGGGGCGCGCGATGACCAAGGTCTGTTGCTGCCCATCTTGTTGGCAGGGTGAAAAGGCCGGAGGAGGGAAAAACATGCTCCCAAGGGGCACTGTTGGCTTGTTCCCCTGGGTTGCCTGACTTGGTGGAGTGAAGAGGATGTCCGCCCTGAATTGGCCCTCCCCGGTTGAAATGAAGGCATACCCATCTCTCTCTCTCTCTCTCTTCT